TTTCATCATAAAAATAAGTATTTGAAGCCAGGCCTGGTAGCACATGCCTATAATTCCAGCAACTTGGGAGGCAGAGCTAGGAGAATCACAGGTTCAAACAAAGGCCACTCTTAGCAACTAAGTGAGACCCTCAGCAACTTAGCAAGAACCTTTTTCAAAATAAAACACAAAAAGTAGAAAGGACTAGGGATGTAGCTTAGTGGTAAAGCACCCCTGGGTTCAATCCCCAATACCACAAGAAAGAAGTATTTGAGATGATAGATTTTAATTGGCTTGATTTAAATTATCCCACATTGTATTTATAAGTGATAATATCACTTTGTACTCCATAAATACATACAACTATAAATAGTCAACATGCAATAAAATAAGCAAACAAAAAGGGTAAAGCAACCATGTTACCAAAAGCATAGGCAACAAAAGTAAATAAAAATGAATATCAAAATTTAAAACTGCAAGGTCAGGGGCGGTGGTGCCATTCCTGTAATTCCAGAAGCTTGGGAGACTGAGACACGAGGATTCCAAGTTCAAGCTAGCCTCAGCAAAAGCAAGATGCTAAGCAACTCAGTGAGATCCTGTCTCTAAATAAAATACAAATAAGGCTGGAGATGTGGCTCAGTGATTGAGTGCCCCTGAGTTCAATTCCTAATACCCCACCCTACATCCCCCTCCCAAATTTAAAACTCTTCAGGTGTTGGCTGGGGGGGGGGAGGGTAGCTCAGTGATAGAGAGTTTGCCTAGCATGAGGAAGACCTTGCGTTCAATCCCCAGAACTGCAAAATAAATAAATAAAACTGCATTGCAAGGGATATGGCTCAGTGGTAGTGTTTGCCTAGCATGCATGAGGTCCTGGGTTCAAACCCCAGCACCACAAACAAAACAAAACCTGTGCATCAAAACAATCAAAAGAGTACAAAGGCAACCTATGAGGCTAGAGATATAACTCAGTGGAAGAGTACATGCCTAGCACATGCCAAGTCCTAGGTTCAATCCCCAGAAAAACACACACACACACACAGGAAACCTATAAAATGTAAAAAGCATTTGCAAATTATCTGATAAAAGGTTAATATCCAGAATATATAAAGATCTACAACTCAACAACAAAAATAGCTTGTTTCTCCAAAGATAAAAAAAAAAACCTGGGTGTAGTGGTACATGCTTATAATTCTAGCTACTTGCAAGGCTGAAGCAGGACAAGTGGTGGTTAGAGTCCAGTCTGGGCAATTTAGAGAGTCTGTCTCAAAAAATTAAAAGGCTGGGAATGTAGCTCTGTGATACAGTTCTGCCAGGTTTAATCCCCAGGACTGGAAAGGGGGATCTGAGAAATGTTGGCAAGAATATGGAGAAAGGGGGCTGGGGATGTGGCTCAAGAGGTAGCGCGCTTGCCTGGCATGCATGCGGCCCGGGTTTGATCCTCAGCACCACATACAAACAAAGATGTTGTGTCTGCTGAAAACTGAAAAATAAATACTAAAATTCTCTCTCTCTCTAAAAAAAAAAAAGAATAAGGAGAAAGTAGAACCTTTATTCACTGCTGGTAGAAGTAAATGATGTAGCTGCTATAAAAAATTGGTGATTCCACAAAAATTAAAAAACAGATGACCCAGCAATGCCACTTCTCAGCATACACAAAAGAAGAATCTAGGAGACATTTGCATACTCACGTTGACAGCACTATTCACAACAGTCCAAAGGTAGACAACCCAGAGTAAACAGATAAACAAAATGCAGCATACACATATGATACAGTGCAACCTTCAAATAAGAAAGTTAATTCTGTACCATTCTACAACATGAATGATCTTGCAAACACTGCTAAATGAAATAATCAGGTCACCCCCAATACTGTATGAATCCATTCATAAGAGGTACTTAAGAGGCTAGATATAGTGGTATACCCCTGTAATCCTAGCAAGTGGGGAGGCTGAGGCAGAATTGGGAATTCAAGACCAACCTGGGCAACTTATTGAGAACCTGTTTCAAAATAATGAAAACGATTGGCAATGAACCTCAGTGGTAGTGTTCAATCCCCAATACCCGCCCCCCACAAAGGTACTTTAAGTAGTTAGAATCATAAAGAAAAAGTAGAATGGTAGTTGCCAGAGGCTAGGAGAAAGGGTGGATGGAGAGTTGTTGTTTAATAGGTATGCAGTTTAGTCTCTGCAAGATGAAAAAGAACTAACCGAATGCTTAAAAATTATTAAGACGGTAAATATTATATAATGCATATTTTACAATTAAAACTGTTTTTATGGGCTGGGGCTGTAGCTCAGGGGTAAAGCACTTGCCTTGCATGTGTGAGGTACTGGGTTCGATCCTCAGCACCACCTAAAAATAAATAAATAAAGATACTGTACTAACTACAACTAAAAAATATTAAAAAAAAAAAAAAGAGCTAAAATACCAAAATAAAAGATAACAACAACAACAAAAGCTATATACATGTAGAGTGCTTGTCTAGCATGTGCGAGGACCTATGTTCAATCCTTAGCAATACATACACAAGGATAAGCATCTATGGGGAGTACAAGTGGAAAAAGGAGGGACTTCTGTTTTCTACTTTATTTCCTTTTATACTGTTTGCATTTTGATAATAAACATAGTGAATATTATAAATTTTAATTTTAAAAAGTTCCATTGGTTATAGCTTTTCAGTTAAAATTAAACCCTAGATACTAATAGACTTAAAGGTTTTACCAAGCATCTCCTCATAAAATCCTACAAGTAGGTGGTTATGGTTTTAGAAGGAAAAATTAGTAAAGGAAAAACTCCTGTGTCTTCAAGGTAATGTGAGACACTTCATGGCCCATAATACCTTCATCTAAATCAGATAATTCTTTTTCCTAATCCTGAAACTGCTGACAAGTGTGCCATGGCAAGAGCTGACATCCATACAAAGTCCTAGGATTTTCAAGCTTTTCCTTTTCTCTACCTGCTAACACAACATCAGGCCCACACCAGCACTTACTTTTCTTTTACAGCCTGATTCTCACTCCTCCCACTCCCTTTTCAAGAACATTACAAGAGAGTTAGTGGGTGGTTAGAGACCCCCTCAGAAACCTACAGCCATTCCAGAAAAATAATTGCTCACATACTAAGGGCTGCCGACAAGAACAGTTTCCCAGTAGCATATTTTAGTAATCTTAATGAAGCAGAGAGCAACACCCCCTGCAATACAAATTCTGGTTGGAAGAAAGAATCTACAGATTATGGAAAAGTACAACTTAAAAAGCAAACACCACAGGCTCCAGTAGAGCAGGAAAGCAAGCAGAGATTTCTAAATACAGAGCTCAATTGTAAGAGTTCCCTGTACCTTATTTCTCACTATCATCATTTTTGCTGTCAAAAATAGAAGCTTCCATGTCTTGATCCATTCAGACTAAGCCACAGCAGGCACGGCTCTGCTTACACAGAGCAGCCAGGTCAGAAAGGCCGCCCAGGGAAATGGAAAAAGCAGCCAGCAGGTTTTCTTAGGGATTATACTGTTCCAGCTTTCATCCTCCTTCCCAGCTATTCTGGTGCCAAGAAAGCTACAGGGAGGTCTTACTCTTGAAAAAGCTTCCATCTTTTCACCAGCAGGGCTGAAGCAGTTTTAGGACTACAACTCCCTCTACTGCCCAATAGTTTCTTTGCATGCTTAAAATTAAACCCTAGATACTAACAGACTTAAAATTCAAAATGTTAAGAGCTAAAGCAGCCCTTTACTCAAAATATAACCAAAAAGTATGGTCAGAGAGGACTGCATCTAGAATGACTTCTATCTATTCATCTGCAAATCTCTACCTCAAAAGATTTTCATTCAGTTTAATGAGAAGTCTCTATCTAGCTTACAGGCATATAGAAAAGCAGAAGCTGGTTGGTTCTCTTTTACCACCTTTAGCAGAATTTAAGATAGGCCTTGGGGTTGGAACTGTAACTCAGTGATAAGAGTGCTTGCCTACCATGTGTGAAACCCTGGGTTCCATATTCAGCACTGGAAAATAATATAGGCCTTTTTCAAATAAGATCCAATTTAAAAGTTTAGGATGGTAGAATATACCTGTAATCCCAGACGTGGGAGTTTGAAGCAGGCAGATCTTGCTTTTAAACAAAACAAAAACCCGAAAAGATCCTATTTAAATAGTACTTAGGACATGGTATTAAACTACCCGTTTGTCTGTTTCACTGTATTCACTCAAGTTTTGCCTAGATAATAGCAGATGTTCAGCAACTATTTAACAGAATTCTATCACCCTTAGCTACAGAGAGAATCTGTCCAGGTAAGAATTAGATAATACATAACCACTGGGAGAGAAACCAATATCCTTAGTGATACTAGAAAGGTGTTTCTTCAATATACTATTTAATTTTTGAGTCAGGGTCTCACCAAATTGTCATGCATCAAACTTGCAACCCACTTGCATCAGCCTCTGGGACTGTTGGGGTTACAGGTATGCACCACCAACCTCAGCTTAACATGGTTTATTTTTATTTTTTAAAAATAACCCCCCCAGTTTTTTTCATTTAGTTTTTTTTTTTAATATGGTGCTGGGGATCGAACTCAGTGCCTCATGCATACTAGTAACTGCTCTACCACTGAGCCACAACTGCAGCCCACAGGGTTTATTTTTAATGTACTTTAAGGACATTTTATTATTAGGTGGGCATGGTGGCAAACATCTGTAATCCTGGTGACTAGGGAAGCTAAGGCAGGAAGATCACAAATTGGAGGCCAGCCTCAGCAATTTAGTGAGGCCCTAAATCTTGCAAGTTAGGCAAACACTCTACAGAATTGATTTAGACATAGGTTAGTGCAATACCGGTTTATTTTTGTAAACCTTCACTTTCTCTGCCACCCAATATTGGAACACTGCCTGTCAGATAGAATACTAAGAATAAATAGGTTCATGCTCTGAAAAAAGCAAATGCCCAGAGCAACTCCTAACCATTTAGAAACTTTAAAATAAATACCAACAGCTAATAATGGCACTGTGTAAAAGGTCTTTACAAACACTGAATTAAGAAGAAACAAATGTAATTTTTTTTTAATAAAAAGAGTTCCACAGCATTTATTTTCATCTGGTAATAACATAGGTCATCAAAACAATGTGAACTAATGCTTTAGAACTATATTCCAGGCAAAGGGCAGCTAAATTAAAAAAAAAAAAAAATTGTTGCTTTCTCTGTAATTTCTCACTTCATTGATCATTTCTAGTTGGAGACACTTTGTAGCAGAGTAATATTATCTCCTTTTAGCATGATCCGACCTGCAATGACAGAAAGAGCTATTAATAGTTATACTAAGACATAAGTAATTATCTTTAGCCTCAGAATTTTGTATCTAGTTTTTAAACAATATTTTGAAAATACTCTCCCTTATAAAGATATGTGAACACTTTCAAGTCTTCACATATTGAAAGGCTTTCCAGCTCCATTAGGGCATACATACCTTTTCAACTATTATCTAATGAAGGTTGGTGTTTGTTTTCAAAAAGTACTGTTTCTATAGACTAAGTCAATTGAACATGCCTAAGCAAACATTTCCCAGTACTGAGTTTGTGTAAGTTTGGAAATGAATTATAAGCCAAGTTTGAAAAATGCAGCATATTATAATCTCATTCTTAGAACTGGGGATGTAGTACAGCACAACGCTTGCCTGGGTGCACACCCCCACCTAAAAAAGCAGCTTTTAAAAAGAACTTAGTATACTAATGACTTCATCTTGCAATAAACAAACTTATTTAGGTTTTACCCACATTTCTTAAATTTATTTGAGATGAGAGCACTTTTTTTTTCCTGAGAAATATCTACTAGCATCTTTAGGAGCACTGGTGCTCACTGGTAAAACAGTCTGAGAAAAGCTGATCAACTCCAATAGTGACTATTATTTTCATTATTATTATTATTTTCATTTCCCAGGATTCTACAGGTGATTAATCTATTATGTAGAGTGGATACTATCATGGGAATTCAACAGTTGGCAAATAACTTATAAGTAATTTGACCCAAATAACACTGGTTTGCTTTCTGGCAAGACAATTTTATTTTGTCTTTTATAAAAATAGCTTAAGCAGAAAGAAGCACAGCAAAATATCCTATCACTTCTAAGATTCTACTTTCCACATACCTACTATGGTTTCAAGAGAATTCTCCAGGTCTGGGAAAAACAGAAATCGTGATTTTTATACTAGTGAGCACAATGAGCACTGAACAAATAAAATACCTCAATAAAGATCAAGTTAACAGGAGGTTAACAGAAATGATTCAGTGTATGGGTTGGGATTGTGGCTCAGAGGTAGAGCTCTCGCCTAGCATGCTTGAGGCACTGGGTTTAATACTCAGCACCATATAAAAATAAAGGAAAGAAAAAAAAAGAAATGATTAGGTGTCTCTTGATGAAACCATGAATCCTAAAGCCTCCTGGGTAAGAAATTGTTCAAATATTTTTGCATTGCTATGTGCCACTCATTGAGTTACTTACTAGGGCTTATTAGGGAACAAAACAGACAGACATATGCACTTATGGAGTACATGGTCTAATGGCAAAGGCAATAGTAAAACAATCCCACTAATGTTTTACAACAAACTCAGAAGGCACATCATACCCCATCTTCCCCATCCCAAGCAAAACACAATCAAACCCTGGGCTTCTTAGAGAAATCATTATTTGATCTAAGTTCTAAAGTCACAGGAAGCTGGGTGTGGTAGTGCTCTCCTATAATATCAGTGACTCTGGAGGTAAAAGGATTACTAATTCAAAGTCAGCCTTGACAACTTAGTGAGACCATGAGACCCTATCTCAAAATAAAAAACTAAAAGGGCTAGAGTTGTAGTTCAGTGGTAGAACATCTCTGAGTTTCATCCCCAGTATTTGGCGGGGGGGGGGGGGGGGGGGGGGGGGGGCAAAAGGAGCACATACAATTGTTTATGGGGGGGATAGGGGTTGGGATGTAGTTTAGTGGTAGAGCACTTGCATAGCAGGTATGAAGCCAGTGAGAAAATTTTTCTTAAGAGTGGGACAAAAGGGAAAAAAAAAACAGCACAGTGTATTATAAGTAGGAGGAGATAAGGACAAATCACAAAGGACCACACAGAATCTGTGAAAAATATTTGTTTTATCCTAACAGCCACAAAAAGTCAAAGAAAAAGGGCTGGGGATATAGCTCAGTTAGTAAAGTGCTTGTCTCACATGCACAAGGCCCTGGGTTTGATCCCCAGCACCACACACACACACACAAAAAAGAGTCAATGAAGAAATGTTGGTAGGCTTTTGTTTTTGGTACTAGGGATTGAACCCAGGGGCACTTAACCACAGAGCCACATTCCTAGCCCTTTTTATTTTGTGAGACAGAGCCTTGCTAAGTTGCTGAGGCTAGCCTTGAACTTGTGATCCTGCTGCCTCAAGCCTCTGAGTCACTGAGATTACAGGAATGCATGACCATGCCTGGCTCAGACAAGTATTTTTAAAAGAGGACTGAAAACTGGAGAACAACCTGGAGGGGAAGGAGATAGTTGCAGAGTGAATATACAAAAGTCTGAAAAGGAATAACAGAGATGAAAAATGAACACCTGAGTATGGTATCCCAGAGCCAAGGGAACAAAGTGTGTTAGGGAGGAAATGGCCAACAGTGCCAAGTTTTGTACAGAGTTAAATAACATGAACACTAACAATAATCATTAGACTTAATAACATTTGTCTTTGGTGACCTCTGCCAAAGCCGTGTGGGTGGACAAAGAGAAGCAGAAATAAAACAGGATAAGAAGCAATTGGAAAATGATTCCAAAAGCGTGCTTCTTTCCAAAGATAACTTCTCAAATGCAAACCAAATTTAAAAATAAACTGAGCTGCAGGTCACTCAATTTTGTGAGTGAAATAAACATTTCTGTATGAACTATATTCTTACCCAGCTGTTTTCTTGACTTTGTTTTAGAATGAATCTCTTCTGCATCATCTAATACAAGGTTCATGTATTCATCAAAACCCTGGGAAAATAAGTCAACTGACAGTCATTTTTAAGTAAATTATTCAAACCATTCAAAAAGAACATTATCTACCCAGAAACAAAAATGCCAATTAACTCCCTCCACTGATCTTTTAGCTCAAACATCTGAAGCCTCTTATTAAATAACAAAATCTAACTGTGGCCCAAATTGCTCCTTCAATCTTTTGGATTAAGAATTTCACTAGATACGTCATTATCCTTATCTTTTATGACATGCCAGCATAGAGTATGTTAGTTATGTATATGAATTACCTTTTATTTTCATTACTTTCTCAATCAGAAACTATTACTGCAAACTAGCATGCTTGTTTTTCAAATGGTAAAGGAAGGGGAAATTACTGATTGAATCTCTGATAATGAAACACAGTATTTCCAGCCAATTTTATTTTTCTTTAAAACATTACTGGGACTGGGGATGTAGCTCAGTGGTAGAGCAAGTGCTGAGCATACACAAGGTCCTGGGTTTGATTCCCAGCACCACCAGAAAAACAAAACAAACAAAAACATTGCTAACCTGAAGTCTTATTTAACTAACACCACCATTTCTATTCATATATTGCCTAACCTGAAATCAAAGTATTCCATTAACCACGTCCCCAAATCGTTTCTTTTGTCTCTTCCTTTAATACTAATATCGTTGTTTAAATTATTTTTTAAAGTTAAAATTTCTCTCTAACTATCCAACTCTTATAAATGAGAACAAGGAGAAAAATATAAATAATGTGCCTTGAAAAACTTTCCTTGGTTTGGGTCTTTGACTTTTTGTATAGTGCTCTGGTGGTCATTTTCTATAAATCTTTTTCTATCAATAAACTGCTCTGAGAAGAACCCCAATGGTACTCACAATAATACAGCCCTCTATCCGCATATTCACTTGCTCATAGAGCCACACCTGAATCCGGGATCTCTGAAATAATCATAAACACAAGAATGTTTTTAAACAGTAAACAAACTAAATACTTTGATCAAACAATAAAGAAATGACTCCTAAACATTTTTTAATGAATGCAAGCCAAGAATTTTAATTAGTCCATACGTAGGATTTGGTAACCAAGACTGGTTTACTTGCTAAAAAACACTTTCATTTAATAATTTCTACATGGGGACTGTTCAAGCTAGTAATTTCCTTTATCCTGGGGCTTAATAATATTTCTAACTGCACTGTCTCAAAAGAGTGAAATTTGGAGACAGTATAGCACAAAACAGTAATTTTTATTGATCAAGGTTTCTTTTCTTATCTGCTTTAGCAAAACCCAGGTAAAAAATAGGAGTTTTTCTAGTTTCTCAGTTTTCCATAGTACACACATAACAACCAGGGGAGGAACTCTCACTTCTGGAGATTAAAAATTGTAATGGCTTAATCTGTTCTTCAATTGTGTTGTCTCATTCTAAGTCTTTAGGTTGCTTAAAATTCCTCCCCCCACAAGCAGCTGCCATTAACTGCTCTGCATCTGCTCCATTCCCTTTCCTTTTTAAAAAAAGTGTCTTAAGTTTTTTCATATATACTAAACATAGCACCTTATGACCTGGTTAAAGGTGAGCCAGTGTGGCTTTCACTGTTTCTTCCTGAAGAAGGAAGTGAGAAAGTTTCCAATGTTTTAGCCTATAATCACTACCAACAAAAGTACCAATGTCCAACTACTAAGGTCACGTCTGCAAATACATAAAGTTTAGTAATTTTGATCCTGCAAAGTAATGACACCATTCTTTGCACGCTAGGTGCTGCAACACATACCCACCACCTTATTACATTAGCGCTTTTTCTCTAAACTTTCCCCTCAATGACTTTTACATCTCATGTGTTTTTTAAACTCCAGAACCCAACGATCAGGAAAGTTGACGCAAATAGCAAAATGAAATCAACTTTTATTAAAACAGTAGTTACAAGACAATTAACGACTTACGTTTTGCAAGTATCTGAAGATGAGGTTCTGCACCACAGCAGTTAAGGACGAAATCCATCAACAGCACAGGCTCTGCTCCCTGAAACTGAGGATCGACCCAACCCTCATCCCAACTTTGGTTTCTGAAGGCGAGCTCTGGTGCCTACTGCAAGAAGGGCCAAACTGGGCCTTCGCTGCGGGGGTGGCGGTGGGCGGAATCATCCTCCCAGAATCTCTGGCTGCTGACACCTTCCTCCTACCCTAGACCATGAACTCCCGCTTTCACTCCGTATCCACCTAACGTTGTCTCCCCTCCTCTCTCCCCGCCATTCCGGCACTTCTCCCGCAGGGGCGGCCCGAACCCACCCGCCCGCACCGGTTCTTCAACTACCCGCGCTTTCTCCCGGCTCCGTCGCCCCGAGGGCTCATGGGATGTGCGCCCGCACTCCGCTCCCTTAGGCCTGCTTCCCGCCTGCGCCTTCGCGCCCGTTTTCCGGCCCCAAACTCCTAATCCTGACCAACTGCATAGGATACGATGGGCTGCACCATCACCTTCTGGACCTTCTGGCCCTGGCCACGGTACGCCATGGTGGAATCTCACAAAAGACCACACGAACCAGCACGTTACCTCAGAGAGCAACTTCCGGAATTGAGAACCGGAAGTGGAAGTGAACGAGGATCTTCTGGTGACGTACCTGGGCGGCTCCTGGAAAATGTCTCTCTAGCTCTGAAGTCGCTCTTCTCTGTGCTTCGTAGCATCCGGAGGAGGTCAAACCTAGGCGAGTTGCCTTGGAACCTGGGTCGATCCTACAGCGCCACCTGGAGGGAAGCGGGAGGAGGCACCGACGGGGCTTCTGTGGTTTGGCGGCCGCGGGGAGGAGGAAAGCCCGGCCCGGCGCCTGCGCTTTCGGTTCTCTCTGTTCTGAATGTGCTTTAAGAGGCGAAATCGTGCAATTTTCCATCTCAGTAAAATGTGCTAATTTACCGCTATTTCTGAGCCTGTTTCAATAGAATGCAGGCTTGACGGCACTATTGTTGGAGAAAGGGCAGGGCGGCAAGAAGCCAAAACAAACCCCAGGTGGCTGGGCCACCAGCGGTCTGGGTGGTTTGCTGCGGATAACCGATGGGTCTCTTCGCTTCTGTGAGGAGTTGTTGTTAGGGTCGCGACTAAAGAGCGTAAAGGCGCTGAAATCCGCTTGCTGGGCTCAATTCCAACAGGTTCTTAGGGTGATTCTTCTGCTCCTGAAAACCTACCTCAGGCACATGTCTTTGGAAGACTGGCCTTAGCTGAGGCCCTTTCTCTGTTGTCTCTTTAGCAGGGTAGTGTGCTTTCTTACATGTGGGGGCTCAGGACTTAAATCAAGGCTGAAGCTACCAGGACTAGTTTTTCTTTTCTTTTTTGGTACTCAGAATCGAACCCAGGGATGCTTTACCACTGAGCTACATCCCAGCTCCTTTTTTTAAAATTAGTTTTTGAGACAAGGTCTCCCTAGTTGCTGAGAATCTTGCTAAATTGCTGAGGTTGGCCTCGAACTTGTGATTCTCCTGTGTCATTGAGATTATGGGCATGCACCACCACACTTGGCTACTACCAGTATTGTTAAAGGACAGGCCTGAAACACCCCAGGGCAGATTCAAGAGCTGGAAAAATAGAGCCCACCCCTTGTTGTGAGTTATGTTAAAGAACTTGAAGCTATTTTTAATCTGGCACAAAGTTACAAAATTGAAATTGTCCATGGATGTAAACAATCTATTCATAACAAAGGAAATACAAACAAACGATCTTTAAACATGAAATTTCATGTTTATCCAATTTGACTCATAAGAGAAATCCAAACTAAACTCCACTGAGATGACCATTTCTTTCCAATTAGACTGGCAAAAATAAAAAAAGTGGTGCTAATGTTAATTATTAAACTCTACTTATACTCATTTTCCAGATAAACTTATATGTTAATAATGTAATCATTGCAGCATTTGTTTAAAATATCAAGATAGGAAACAACCTAAATGTCTATCAATAAAGATTAGCCAAATTATTGTATATCATAAGAGTATAAAATTATTCAAGTATAATCAAGATTGAAGAAGCTCTCTGTATATCTTCTTTTCTAATATGAAACAATATGAGTATACATTGAAACAATATCTAATATACATTGAGAGAAAAAAATCAAGCAAACATGCTAGAGATTTATTTCAAAATAATCCAATGGAGCCAATAGGGCTAAATCTTAGATAAGGAAAGCCTAAACTTTAGCAGAGTTTAAGAGACTACACTTACATGTACACCTCCTTAAATGGTGTGCAAGCTTCTTGCTTGCCTCAGCCCAGACTCAGCCTTAGGGCTCAGAATATGGGGTAAATAGTTGGTAAGGATTGGCCATGAATTTGTAATTGTTGGAACTAGGTGACTATATGAAATTCATTATAATACTCTCTATACTTCTAAATGATGAAATTTTCCTGAATAAATAAAGCAAGGTCCAGAATATTGTGTTTATTAATACATAATACTGTATGAATTTCATTTGCTGATATATGCCTGGTATGTTTAGAAAACCCAGGTCACTGTAAGCTTAGCTTTGGAGAACTGAGTAGCTAGGGAACAAGTAGGAAGGAAGATTTTGTATACCCTCATATACTTCAAAAAAATTGAAATTTGTGTAATGGGTATATCACTAATTGACTAAATATGTTTGATAGTGGATACTACTATGAAACATTTGTTTCCTTTTTTAAATTCTAATAATGTTCATGTAAAACTTGAGAGATTTTTGTGACACAAAGTATGTGGGAAATAGGCTTAAGAAACCCTGGCCCAAAGAGACATACCCCTTAAAAAGTAACTCCAACCTTGCCAAATACTTGAGAACTTCTGCTGAGTTTGAAATTCCTTCCATCTCAGCCAGAAACTTCACAATTTGCTGAATAGCTGTGACTGACTAGAAGTACAATAAAGAGTAGAGTTGGGAAGAGGCAAAGGGCAGCCTTGCAAAGATCAGCATCCTGACTAGGGAGACTGAGATAGGAGGATCAGAAGATCAGCCTTGGAAATTTAGTGAAACTATCTTAAAAAAAAAAAAAAAAATCAGCATCCGTTGAAATAAGCCAAGAACTTTTTTATTCATTCAGCAAATATTTGTTAAATGTCTTTTGTTATGGGAGGAATTGTATCCCCAAAACTCATCTCTTGAAGTTCTAACTTCCAATACTTCAGAATGTGTTTGTATTTAGAGACAGGGATTTTGGAGGTCAGATAGGTAGGACCTCTCATCCAATCTGCCTGGTGTTCTCATAATAGGAAGAGTCATAGGAGTCTCTCTCCCCCAACCGAATACAGGAGAATGTTCTGTGAAGATGAGAAGGTGGAGAAAAAGGAGGAGGAAGAGAAGGGGGGCCTCACTGGAAACCCAACCTGTCACTGCCTCGATCTGGGGCTTGTAGCCTGGAGAACTAGAGAAATAAACTTCTCTTGGTTGAGCCACTGTCTGTGGCATTTTGCTATGGCAGTCAGAGTAGACTAATATACCTTCCTATGGGCCAGGCCTTTATTGGGTACTGAGAATGTAAATAAGATGTACAGCTAGACAATTTTAAAACAAGGGGATAAACACCGAGTATATGCCTGGTGGATGGACACCAAACCAGAGTTTGGATAGAGAAGGGTATTGTGAGAGAGCCCGGGGAACATAGGGTTTGTAGAAGTTAGCCAAAATAAAAGGAGAGGCTTTAGAGAGAAGAGAGCCAGCATTATCCAAAGGCAGGGAACTGGAGACAGAGGAGTGGGCAGTGTGTGTGTGTGTAAATTGAAGCCTGGAGGTAGAAGAGCTTGGTGAATGGCAGAAGAGGCTCTAAGCCAAGGTCTTACATGCTATGCTGAGAAACTTGATTTTGCAGGGAAAGGGAAGGCAGTGGAGGATTTATGAAGCAGAGTGACTTCACTTTGTAGTTTAAATATATCTTTTTTTAAAAAAAAAAATCAGTTTATACCTTGCCCAGGAATAACTGGAAACCAACTGAACAAAAATGAGACAAAGCAGGGCCTCTAAGAACACTAAGGGATGGCCAGAGGTTACTTTAAAGACCTCCCTGCTCAGTTGGATACTGTTCAAATCATCTCTTAAATTAATCAAACTTCAGCTCTATCCTGACCAATCTGGAATGTATTTTTTCTATAGCATTATCCACTTAATATCAATGCCTACTTTGCTCATCTTTTTTTTTTTTTTTTTTTTTTTTGCAGTACTGAGGATTGAGCCCAGGAGTGCTCTACCACTGAGCTACACCATCAACCCTTTTTGAGACAGGGTCTCTAATTGCTGGTCTTGAAATTGCAGTTCTCCTGCCTCAGGGCCCTGCTGGGATTACAGGTTGCACTACTGTGCTGGCTACTTAGGTTACTTTTAAAATTATTTCCTAAGTACTTCTACTTTGACAGCAGGGATTTGGGGCTTATACCCTTTTACCCCTAATGACCAGTAGTGCTTAATGATGGTTTGAGTTCAGAACTTTCTAATTTGAGCCCATTAAAGGGTGAGAGAGTCCTACATATTTTTGGCAATTAATACCAGAATATTTATCATTTCCTCTTGGTAGCTTTTCTAAACTTAATCTGCCCTCCTTGAGCTCCCAACTCAAACCATATGTAGCTATCAGGTAAGTTTTCCTTCCATTTTGCTTCTTTTCCTTTGAAACTTCCTTCTTTGCTACTTTTTTTTGGGGGGCAGGGTCGAGGGAGGTAGGGGTACCAGGGATTATACTCAGGGCCACCTGACCACTGAGCCACACCCCCAGCCCTATTTTGTATTTTATTTATAGACAGGGTCTGAGATGCTTAGCACCTCACTTTTGTTAAGGCTAGCTTTGAACTCACGATCCTCCCGACTCAAGCTTCCAGAGCCACTGTGCCCAGCTCCTTTGTTAGCTTTGAGTTCTTTTGTTGTGGTACTGGGGCCTGAACCACTCTACCACTGAGCTACATCGCCAGCCCTTTTTATTTTTTGACATGTGGTCCCACTAGATTGCCAAGGCCTCCCAAATTGCTGAGATTACAGGTATTTGTCACCATGCCCCGTTTGAATGTTCTTAATCCACCTGCTTTCCAACACTCAACAAACAGGAGTCTTTCCTGCTTTTTGCTTTCTGCAAGGCTGACTCTTCAACATTTTTGCTGTTAAATCCAACCAAATTTAAATAGTTTATTAACAGGCCCATTCTGTAATTTGAGTCCTAAATTGTTCTTAAATATAAAAATTAAATCCTAGATTGCTATTATTTAATCATTGCTTAGCTTTTGCCATCTTATTGTACAATAAGTAAATGGTTGAGATCAACTATTTTTTTGTGCTCATGCCACTTAACATCATTTTGCATATTAAGGAGGCTGAGACAGGAGGACTGCAAGTTCAAAGCCAGCCTCAGCAATTTAGCAAGGTCCTAAGCAAAACAAAAACAAATTGCAGTTTAAAGACTTAATTATGAATGTAGCCAGATGGCTGGGGGTGTGGGAACTTTCAAAGATAATAATTATTAAGTAATTAGCTTCCTAAAATCAGATTAAAATAAACCTAGTGGAACCTAAGAATCCTACTTTCTTGCATTTAAATCTGAACATACTGACCCTGAAACTACAGTGGGGGAATAAAGCAATGATCTTTTTAAGTGGTACATGTAGGATTTTGTGTCAAAAATGGGTACATTAATTCAAGGTGAATAATAAATAATGTTTAAAAAAGTATCACCTATTAAGTTACAAATGGAGATCATGCATGTGCTGTTGCTAAACTGCCAAATTCAAACATTTTAAACTACAGAATATTTGGACAAAATGCAGCAATAATTTTAGAAAAGGATCATAGAACTTGGATCAAAATAAATCAAGCTTTGTGAAATTTTAAATCAGTCCTATCTCTGTGGTAGCTCCAAAGGCTGGTTGGGTACTGTTTTGACCATCCATTTGGGATTTAGGGTTAAGGTCAGAACTTTATGGATTGTTCATCTTGATATATATACATAATTATAAAACTATATTTCTGGATAAGGCCAAACTACAACATTTGGGCCCATTTCTGTTAAAACTGAAAACTGTTGTCACTTAAAATTATATATGCAATCTGTTTTGCTTTTTTGTTACTGTTACTCAACTGGTTAGGATAATTTTTTTTCAATGTTGGGCACTGGACTCAGGACCTCACATTTATAAGGTAAGCACTCTTAACTATTGGGCTACATCCCCAGCCCAGGACTATAAATTTATGCTACTACTAGGAAAAATCTATATTCTCTGCTCATTAACAAATTTATATGTATTCTCATAATGATTAAAAAAATGGTACACAAATTGAAAAAACCTGGAATTTCCTGAATTAAATTTATGTTTCACCTTCATGCTTGAAAATTCTAAATCACTGAATCTAAGATCATTTTTAAACCCTCCCTTCTTTTAAAAAAACGGCAGCACTTAAATTACAAAAGGACCAATTGTCAGTGTCAGAAAGAATCCTTACATATAATTATATGCATTCTTACCTAAAACATACAACTAAAATAGCACATTTAAGGGTAAGTCTGGCGATCTGTTCTTGCATGATTTCTAAAGCCAAACAGAAACTGAAGCACTTATACAAAGGGTCAGTAACACTCTGACTGGGGGCCTCTGATCAAGGCAGAGCTAGGTGAAGTGATGTAAGACTACTTAACTCACGTCAAGACTTTCCTACACCAGTTTTATTTAAAACACAAATAAGTATTTCTCTTTCTATAATGGCAAATGGTTCAAATAATGCTGAACATGAATCATCGACTAATACAAGGGCTTTAAATATGAAACAAAATTATTTTTTAAAAAAGAAAAAGAATAAAGGTTATATATACAAAAAGGATCTGGAATCAGCTGATTCCAAAAATGAAATGAGTTTATAAAATCTGGTGAAACAGGAACATTCCACCCCTGCTTTGGAGAAGGGCTATCATACAACATTCAGTCAGCTGAAGATGGATTGGTAGAGGTGTGTCTATACATAAATTTCAAGTCATTTTTGCTTGTGCAGAATCATCCAGATCTTCCCAAGACTGAATGGGCAGTCCTGTGGCTTTCTTCCTTTTCCATATTCCCAAACAAGGCTATATGAAGTTCAACTCTTGATGAGCCGCTTACAACAGCAGTTCCTTAGGAGCCAACGTGACAGGTGGTTCAGATTTCCCTTTGAGAAACAAAACTGGCCACCTACAGCAAAGTATCAAAATGGACAAGTCCTTCTTTTCTCCTCCTTCAGATTATGTACAATATGTCTCCTTTCAAGACTCTCATCCTCATCATTCTTGTTCCTTCACAAGTCTAAACCTTGAGGTGATATGAAGGAGACCAACATCAAGAAAAGAAAATTCAATTCAGAAATGAAGAAAACTGGAAGGCATACAATACACCCCCAGAGCATCTCAATATCCCTGCTACAGTACAATTCAAGTGTACTGCTACGGTCCGTAGACAAATATTGGCAGCTTGAATGAGTTCGTTTTTTTTAATCCTGTGGTGCATAAAGGGCACCAAATAAATATTGGGCAAGAGGAGCTTGCTAGGAGAGTTAGAAATAAAAAATTAACCAATTTTTGTCCCTGTGATAATTCAATGCCAACAGGAGGCAAGTACTGAAGAAGGGACAACTTTCATACTAAAAAAGAATTCCTCTAATCATGTTACCATCTCTTATAAAGAATCCAGGGAATCCCAAGTAGAAAATTAGTTTCAGAGGACCCCTGAGGCACTTTAAAGCCTTTAAAAAAATTACAGTAATAATAAGTTAGCTATTGCTCTTCAGAGGCTTACAGAGCAGCTGAAGCATCAAAATCAGGTCCAAAGAGTTATGTCCGTATTTCAGGTTTCTTGAGCTGCTCAGCCCTCTTTAAAGCTTAGTTGTATCTCCAAATACCTTTAAAAAGACATACAATATAACACAGAGTGAGTGGGGTTTTTTGTTTAGTGGTAGCATGAAATTTGGTCCACAATGGTAGCAGCTGTCTTCGTCCAAACTTAGATAATATTAAGTACATTAAGACAATACATAAAAGAAAGAATACAACAAAAAGGAAAACAGCCAAAACTGACAAACACCTCAAGGAGTCACTAGGTTCTCTTGTACCCTTTTCATTTGGATCTCCCTCAGTCTCTTTTTTTGTGGAGAAAAGAGTATTAAATAACTTTTTTCTCAAGGATGCTAAATGATGTGGGGGGAAAAAATGGTTATCAAGGGACTGGAAAAATCTGACCCCAAAGAATCCAGGACACATTACAGATAATTCAGAGGTATACTTCTGATTTGGGGCAAATTTGAGACTAAAGAAATGATCACTTCAGGTAAATGTTAAAATAGATACAATAGATGAAACTAAGTCCAGTTTTTTGGTGAGTTTTTTTTTTTTTTTAAGTGTTCTCACTACCACCTTCAGCTGTCAATCATTTCTGAGAGCTCAAGCAGAAGGTCATCTTCATCTTTCCCAGGATCCAGGTCAATCTCGGCTTCTAATTTGCCTCCTGAAATTTCCCATATTAGTTTCTCAAAATCATCCTCCACAGAGAGTGGGGGCTTTCCTGTTGAGGCAGAGCTGAGCCGGCGAGTTTTCGTGACCATTTGGGATGAGGAAGGGCCAGATACTTCTGGGGGTAAGGAATCTGAAGAGGACTGGGTTGGAGGCAGCACAAAACTGTAAGAAAAATAGAAGGGATTATCAGAACTAATTGTGCCAGTTTTCATTGGTTAGCTCACCCACAGGTCTCAGGAATACAGAGTTAGCAAAAAATTATTTCTGAGGACACAAAGAATAAATGATTTCATTGTTTTGGAACCAAACATTTTCATAATTCTGAGTATAATTTAGCCAGGTATGAAAAACATCTTCTAGATAACGAGGCACCAATGGAGAACAGCAATCCCAAATTTCATGCTTTCCTGCAGTTAACTTGAAGTTCAGATTTGTTCAGATGGGGCTAAACTGTAAAAACTTAGTTACTTATCCGTATCATTCTTGATAGAGTAGAAACAACAGTGGCCTAGAGTTTGGTTAAGAAGAATTACCTGTCTCTAGGTTTTTCTGTCTCAGGCATGGTGATTGGTTTGTCCTCAGAGAGGAGTGGGACAACAGCCTACAAAAGAGTAAAGTAATTCAGTGGAAAAGACAGGTTTTTATATTTGAGCATATTCATAACTATCATTCTTCTATTATTTATTTGCAATACTGGGGACTGAACCCAGGGCCTCACACATGTTCATCAAGTGCTCTACCCATTGCTGTTTATTTTGAAACAAGGTTTTGCTAAATTGCCCAAGCTGACCTCACACTTGGGATCCTTGGGCTTCAGTCTCTCCAGTAGCTAGGATTTCAGGTGTGCGCCACCTCATGTGGCCATCCTTCTTTTTTTCATGGTGCTAGAAATGGCACCTAGGGCCTTGAACAAGCTAGGTAAGTGCTCTACTACTGAGGTTCAGCCCCAGTCTAACAGTTATCATTATGTAAACTTGGGAATTCAAGAATCAATAATCCAAAGGTTGAGTGTACAAGGAAACCATATATCTTGCCACCTGAAAACTGGCTTTTAAAAATCCTGTCCTCCCATATTTCACAAATATCTGTAAATATCACAAAAACTTTAAATTTAAAATAGAGTAACAACCTAAACAACCTAAATGCTCAGGAAATGGCAGGAAGTGTTAAACATAGATATAGGCAGAACACAATGGGGAGTTTGTTTTTTCTACCACATAGTATATAGTACCTACCGCTAAGGTGGAACTTCTACTTACCACAGCTGCTTTTTTGGCTGGGCTTTCTTGCAGGACACTACTAGAACTGAGTGGCTTCACAGCTGCAATGACAGAAGGGTGCACCTCCACTGCCTTGCGTTTTGGGGCCAATTTGGGAGACGAAACAACTTTAACCACAGATGGCTTCACATTTACTTTGGGTTTAGCTATAAGAGAGAAAATATTAATAGCTAGAAAAATCTTTTTACATAAAAGTAATTCAGAATAAAGTAACAAAATTCCTTGAGTACTAGGAGTAACAAGAAAATATATAAATCCACACTGAAAATGATCCACTACATGTGTTTATTATGTAGATATACATTCTCAACCCCTTTTACTGGCTTTTGAATCTGTTATTATTCTATTCTTCAAAACCAGAGAAAAGATGTACCATAAAGTTTTGGACAAAGTTCAAACTTGGTAATTTTGATGTCCTAAAGCAAGACATACTATAGAAAACACTCACCTTTACCCCTTTTTTCCAAAGTCTGTGCTGCACATTTCACATTCAATATGGAGTCTCCAATCCCTGAAGTTTCTACCTCCACCTTCTGGGATGACTTTGTGGGAAGCCGCTTGGTTAGCTGCCGTGTGAGGCCTGACATGGCAGTGAGCACTGGTTTTTCCACCCCTTGGGTATTGCAAGAGGCTGAATCTCCCCGGAGGGGCGTCAAAACTGATTTTTCCTTTTGTGAACCTCCCCGCTCCTGCTGTTTCTGCATGTGTTTCTCTCTCATGGTCTCACATTTCTTAACTGGAATTTTAGTGATATCAATTCCCATAGTTTCATCTGGAGCCTATGAACAAATTTAAATGACGGAATTAAAATTTAGTACCTTTAATAATCTAAGCTTGTTATTTATAAAGTATTGAGTTAAAATGTAAATTAAGCAGATTGTAGCATGATATAGAACCTAGAGAAAACTCTTTGATATTACATAGGGAACATGCTGCTAAAGATGAAAGGTTAAAACTGAAGATGTATGCAACAGTAAAAACAAACAAACAAACAAAAAAAACCCCACATTATATAGGCTAGACAACCATGACCCCAAGTCAAATACTAATGCCTACTAAATAATCACCTTTACAAAAGACCTAAGCACAAAAATATTACTTTATAAAACAAAATCTAAGCGCCCAGAAAGATTATATGCATAGCAGAATATTTTTATGTAGTCAATAAATATAAATATCTTAAAAATTCACTAATATGGTAAAGCGAGTCTGCAAAATGACAGTAGAATTCTACATCATGTTCTAAACATGAATTAAACATTAATAAACTCATACACACACACACACACACACACACACACACACACATATATATATATAAAACAAAAAACTTAAAGGAAATCCCTGAAAAATTTAATGGTGGTTACATCTGGGTCGGACAATTATAGGATTTGTTAATTCCTTTTTCTCTTTTTATGAGATGGGCCTCACTATGTGTCCAGGCTGGCTTCCAACTCTTGAGCTCAAGTGATCCTTCTGCCTCAGCCTGCTGAGTAGCTGGGACCACAGGCACAAGCTACTGCACCTGGCTTGTTCTTTCTTTTAAAAAAGAAAAGTTTCTCAGCTGGGCATGGTGGCACACACCTGTAATCCCAGCAGCTTGGGAGACAGAGTCAGGAGGATCACAAGTTCAAAGCCAGCCTCAGCAACTTACTGAGACACGTAGCAACTCAGTGAGAACCTGTGTCTAAATAAAATATAAAAAGGGTGGGGATGTGGTTCAGTGGTTAAGCACCCATGTTCAATCCCCAGTATCAAGAAAAAAAAAAAGAAGAAAGAAAGAAAAGTTCCTCAAGATCTGTACAATGTGTAGCATTATTCTCAAAAGCAAGAGAAAAACCTCAGTTTAAAAAATATTAATGGCCAACAACAACAACAAAAAAATTTATAAGGGCAAAGAACATTGACATACAGAAAACTATAGGAAATGTGCAGAGAAAATTAAAAGCATACCTGAAGTTTCGGTGAAATGTTAAACAGACATTAATTATAATCTGAAACTAAAACATTTTACCATTCATCTAGCCTTCACCATAAAAAAAAAAAACAACTGCAAAACAATCTTAAATTTACTCACCTCATTAGCCTCAGCTCCTATAGCACTGGTCTGAGAAGCAACTTCACTTCCTTCCTCAAGTTTCTTCTCTTCTTTCATACCTATATTCACATTAAAGACATCATCAGGTCTACCATTTTGGCTGCAACTTTGTGAAAGTTGAAGTTAAACTTTTGTTAATGGGAATAATGATAAAATATGATAAAGAAAACGAGATAAAAAACCCACTGGTCTTATAAATTCTCAAAATGCACATTAAAGTATTGAAGGTCTACACAGTCCAACTATAAACAAATAGCTTAGATTCTTTGAATCCAGTGCTTTTCAAAGTTATCTGAACAAAGTTTTCAAAGAACTTCTATGAAGATCCCAGGGGCACACTGTTTTTTCTGGAATAGTATTTGGGGAAGTGGCACTACACACCTGTTCTTTTGGTGATTCGAAGTAGCCGCCTTGACCCTGGGGCAGGCTCAGGGTGAGGCTGGGAGCTGGTGCTGCTCTCGGTGTTCTGCTGCACCCTTAGTGCCTTCTCCAGTTTAATTTCTTCTAGAGTCTTAATGTGTACCTCCTGCATAGACTTTGTTCTACCTGCAGGTTCCTCTGATTGTCCTTTGCTGATAACTATGGGTGGCAAAACCACTGCTTTTTTAACTTCACTATCAGTCTTTAGCTTGATGCAAGTGGCATCCTTTTTGCTTTTTTGTCTCTCTGTTTCCTGCTGCCGATGTTTTTTTTCAGCCAGGACCTCAGAGAAGGTTTTGATTCGGATGGTGGAGGAGCTTCTTGTTCCTGAAATAGAATCATCAGCTTTTGAAGGTACTTCTGTCTTGAGTTTAGTTTGCAATTCTCCACGTTTTTGACTGGCTCTTTCAAGGAGAATTTCTTCTAATGTCTTCACATGGATTTCACCAGCTTTATTAACTCTCTCTGTTTTAGAAAAAATCATGTCATTATACTTCGAATGTATCTCTTAAGATTTCTTTACTCTAGGATTAAGACAGTTCAACAGAAAGGTATCATTTAGGTTAGGCAATTAAAAGGATCAAGAGTATAACATTAGTTTCACTCTCAATTTTAAATTAGTGGCCAGTAGTGGAGCACTCCTCTTATCCCAGAAACTCAGGAGGCTGAAGAAGGGGGATCACAAGTTCAAAGCCAGCCTCACCAACTTCAGACCATCTCTTAAAATAAAAAATTTAAAGGGATGGGGATTTGGCTCAGCAAAGGAGTGCCTGTGGTTTTAATGAGCAGTACCCCCTACCCCCCCCCAATACAAATTCAGATTACTGTATATTTCAGGCAGTAGCCCTCAAAGAAAACTAAGGAGGTTAAAAATTTCTGATTTGTATTTCTACTAAGAAGCTAATCCCCAAAGAACCTGAAAACTATTTACTAGTTGAAGAAATGTGTTACTATAAATCTTATCAATAAAAAAGCAATAATTCTTCTATTCAAAGATATAAACCTGTACTGGACACTGTACTAGATAAGAAAGCAAAATATAACCTCTGCCCTAGTGTAGTTTTGAGTTTGACAGACCAATAATTAATCCAGCAAAAACAAAGTATGCTAATGGTAACTGCACACAACAAGAATGTCAACTGCTGTCCAGGAGCTAGTTGAGGGCAACTTCAGAAGAAGTGATATTTTAATACCTTTATTTTATTTATTTATTTTTATGTGGTGCTGAGGCTCAAAACCAGGGCCTCACATATGCTAAGTGAGCACTCCACCACTAAGCCACAACCCTAGCCGCAAAAAGAAGGGATATTTTAAGGATATTCTTTAAGGATAAAAAGGAAGTCACATAGGTGACAAGATGAGAATAATGAGAAACACTTATAAATTGGCACGCTATCCAAGAGCTTCTCCCCACACTACCCACCAAAGGCATAGACAGAGGGTTATTTAAGAAAGCAGAGGCACATTCAAGGAAGAAGGTGGGCTAACATGAGAGTGAGAACCTTTAGGGGTAAAGCAAGGAATACACTCAAGCAAAAATGTGAGTCATCTTCAGAGGGAGAAATAGCCCTGAAGAAGTTAGTTTTAATGATATAGCAATCATTCTACATCTGTTTAAAACTAAAAAATAAATTTCACAAAAGTGCTTCTGAATTATGTGTTTAGGGCCTTTTGTTTTGGGTACTATGGACTGAACCCAGGAGCACTCTACCACTGAGCTATATCCCCAACCCCTTTTGAGATAGGATCTCGCTAGGTTGCCCAGGCTGGCCTTGAATTTGCAATCCCCCTGCCTCAAGTAGCAGGGATTATAAGAATATGCTACCATGCCCAGCTCTCTTTAGCTTTTTATATTACAGTTATAAATTCTTCCATTTCAAGATGGCAGATCTATCTTGGAATTACCACTAACAACATGAATGTGACATGGAGACCCGTTTCCCTTTCCTACCAAAATTTCACTGAAATGATAGAAGTTAAAATTAGAATAAATCTCTACTAATAAGAAAGGATGCCAATGGTAGAGTATAAATCTTGAAGAATTTAAGACAGAAAGCAGATATCTGAATTCAAAGAAAAATGGAAAAAGAAGAGTTAATGCAGAGGTGAGTCCTGTTCTTCCCAACAGAACCAAAATAAACTGTGAAATTTGGTTTAATTAGTATGAAAATCAAAAGTGGGGTGCTGAGATGGGATGTAGCTCAGTGGCAAAGTACCTGCCTATCATGCAAAGGCCATGGGTTCAATCCCCAGCATAGAGGTGGGATGGGAGAAGAAGCAACAGTGGGCTCAGAGATAACTATTAAGGTAGAAATTGAAGGACTGGGGCTAGGAATGTAGTTCAGTGGTAGAGCACTTGCCTAGCCTGAGTAAGGCCCTAGATTCTACCACCAGAAAAAAGAAACAGAGAAAAGGAAAAAAACAAAGAGAAATTAATTAATCAATTTTAGAACTGCCAATAGAATAGCTCAGTCAGTTATGACCTCTTCCTGAGAATTATTCCTTTTACTTTTTTTGTGTGTGTATGGTGCTGGGGATTGAACCCAGGGCCGTGTGCTGGGAAATGAACCCAGCCCGAATTACTCCTTTTAAAGAAGGAAAGTCTGGGCCAGTGAAAGAGTACTTGCCCTGGATTCAATCCCTTGCACCAGTGGAAAAGACAAGAAGAAGAAAAGAGGAATCTACTCAAGATATGAAGATATCAGGGTTGGAGAGAAGTAAGGCATGAAAATTATAGACTTTTACAAGTATGAAACGGAAAAGCAGAGTTGGGAAGAGAAAAGCAAGAAAAGGAAAAATGTTTCTCTGAAAGTGAAAAAAATCTTTGCATGCCTATAATCCCAGCAACTAGGGAGGCTAAGGCAGGAGGATCACAAGTCTAGGCCAGCCTTAGCAACTTGAGAGAGACCCTGTCTCAAAAAAAAAAAAAAAGGCCAGGGGATGAAGCTTAGTGGTAGAGCAGGACACCTGGGTTCAAATCCCCAATACTGCCAAAAAAAAAAAAAAAAAAAAAAGTCTTATTGTGGCAATTGCCACAATAAGATCCCCAGCTTTCCGGCCTGCAATCCGTATAGGTGGGTGTTTTAGTATACCTCCTCTACTTGACCAGACATAAATCAAGCCTCCCACTCAGAAGAGAGGATTACTCTGGAAAATCGCCTTTAGAACACAGAAGAAACTTAGCCCAGCCTTTTAACTACAGAAAAACATCATCAAAAATAAAATAAACTTAGCATGAAGCCAAAACAATACATTCATACAAATGTTAAAAACAGATTCAGGGTTGGGGATGTCATTCAGTAGAATACTTGCCCAGTATACATGAAGTCCTGGGTTCCATACCCAGCACCCAAAAAATAAAATCCTAGATTCAAATCAGAAACCCTACAGCAACTTGAAATTAGACTGTGAAAAAAGGAAAAATGAGAGAACAAAAGTCTAAATACTGAAAATTAGATGAGGCTGGTCCCAAATCAGCCATTTAGAACAAGGCAGGCAAACTATATGCTGGAGGCCAAATCTGACCACCTCCTAATTTTGTAAATTAAGTTTGTCAGAACAAATCCACACTCATTCATTTACACATTACATATGGCTACTTTCGTACTACAATGGCGTGGAACAGTGGACCACAAAACTTAAATTATTTTTGTTTCGTTTTTTTGCAGTGCTGGAGATTAAACTCAGGGCCTCACACATGCTAAGAAAGCACTTACCACTGAGATAACCCAACACAAAGCCTAAAATATTTACTACATGACACTTTACAGAAAAAATATTTTGTTAATCCTGATCTACAATACAATAAAGCCAAACAAAGTTCATAGAGGGTGAGAGGAAAAACAAAGGGATGGAAAGTATAAAGACAAGATCAAGAGACATGGGAAGCATATGAACAAAGTTCTAACATCTTTTTTTATTTTTTGGTACCCAGGGGTGCTTAACCACTGTGCCACATCCACAGCCCATTTTATTTTTTATTTAGAGACAGGGTCTCACTAAGTTGTTTGGGGTCTTGATAAATTGCTGAGGCTGGCTCTGAACTGGTGATCCTCCCATCCCAGCCTCCTGAGCCACTGGGATTATAGGTGTGTGTCACTGTGCCCAGTTCCAACATCTTTCATATGAAAACCAAAAACAAAGATGCAGAGGTCATACTCAAAAGAAATCAGAAGAATGTTTTCTAGAATTAAAAAAACAAGTTCTTAGATGCAATGAGCTCAATGAATACTGTTCAGAACGAACAAAAAGGATGTATTTAGGTCCACTTCAGTGAAGTTGCAATGTATTAGGCAGGAAGAGAAAAAAAAAAAATCCTAAAGATTTCTGCTGAATGAATTTAGGTTATCCAAAAAAGAATAATGTCCAATGTCAGACTCTTTTTATGATGCTAGTATAACATTAATATTCAAATCTGATAATGGAATGAAAAGAAAAAATATAGACTATCATCATTCATAAATACTGATGTTAAACTTACACAAAAAGTATCACACATATAAATCTTGCAATTTGTAAACAAAACAAAACAAAAACCCCAAAACCAAAAACAAATACTGGAGAGTGGGAGGTGTAATTCAGTGGTACAGCACTTGGCCAGCATTTATGAGGCCCTAATTTTGATTCCCAGCACTACATCCAAGAAAGCTGGATGGTTGAGTGCATGAATGTTCATTTCATTATACTTTAAATTGTACATGTATACACAAATCTTATGTAGTTATGTCACACAATTTTTAAAAATATTATTGTATAGAAAGAATATAAGAGAAAAAATTAAAATTACCTACAACCTCAAGGTACAGATAAAATCAGTATTAACATTTTGATGTTGTATTTTTAGTGGGGGATCCTTCCCTCCTCCCAGTTCTACGGTCAGTCAAACCCAGGATCTTACACATGCTAAGCAAACACTTTATCTCTGAGCCACATTTCTAGCCACTTTTTTCCAGTTATTTTCTATGGCATGTACTTACTATGCCATACAATCATGCACATCATAATCATCTTATGAGTCTATTTATGTACCTGTGGCTTCCTCATTATTTGAACCAGCTGACATGCCTAGTCGCTCCTTCAAAGATTTGGAAACTTGCACTACAAAAAGACAAAATTTCAAACTCAAAAGTTGAACAGAGACTTTTTATATTCAAATATTTTTTCAAAGTTCATGAATTAAGCTATAGTTCTAATGCAATTAAAAAAACTCAAGGTCTTAAAATTTTTCTTCTCCATAGAGCAGACTTATATAAACCCTGAATTCCCTAGAGCATTTTGTAAAATTTCAAAAAAATTTCTTTATACCTCAAAAGCAAAAACTACTGAATTCAGGGAAATAATTCTGTTACTGTACACTTTCTAAATGTTTTGGTACCAGGCATGGGAATACACGCCTGTAATCCCAGCGACTTGGAAGGCTGAGGCAGGAGGATCCTAAGTTTGAGACCAGCCTCAGCAACTTAGTGAAGTCCTAAGGAAGTTAGCAAGACCAAATATCAAAAATAAAAAGGGCTAGGGATGTAGCTCAGTGGTAAAGTGCCGCTGGTTTCAATCCTCAGTACCAAAACAAAAAACACAGTAACTTCCACTTGCTTTGAGTTCTTAAGAAAGCCCCCCAAAGAAGTTAGAAGCAAATGCAAATAAATTTCTTAAAAAAAAAAAAAAAAAAAATATATATATATATATATATATATATACACACACACATACACTTTAGTTGTATTTGAACACAATATCGTTATTTATTTATTTTTATGTAGTGCTGAGGATTGAACCCAGCACCTCGCATGTACTAAAAAAATAATAATTTATATGAACAAAAGGATGAAGAACCACAGCTGTTAACATTATAACAAGGGTAATTACACATGTATACACACGCACACCAACACACACACCCCATGTATTAAAACAGAGGTACCTACCTTTTTTTGGTGTTTTCTCAAAGTTGGTTTCTGGAGCTTCAACTTTCTTCCCTAGCCTCTGTGCAAGGCTCCGCTTTAATGGGGGATCACTGTCACCACCTACAAATAGGGGGAACTTGTGGAGGTCAAAAAATACAAGCAAAAAGAGACAATGATGACTACTTCTGACAAGTTTTCTCCATTTGCATGGTATGTTTGTTCACTAGCTTCCCAAAACTCTATGTTGGAGAAAGAATAAAAGTCCCAGAAAGAAAAGGTAAGGGACAAAAACCTGAAATGCATAAAAGAATATTTACTGAGTAACTAACATACTTGATCACACAATGTACTGATCCTATGAAGAACCACAAGCCCTGGTGAGGCTGAAATTTAGAACCAGGAATGTGAAAAACCATCACAAAAAAATCTTAGCTGGCCAAATGCTAAATCCATAATAAATTCACCTGAATATGACCTTAGGAAAGTTATTTAAGCCTTACTAAGTTTATGCTGAATGCATAAAATATTTGCTGGCATTTATTAAGTGCCAGTATTAATGCCTAGTTTCCTCATGGTGCTGAGGAATAGTTGAAAGTGTACACTTAACAAATCCACATCAAATATCATATTTCATTCATAAGGCTTGATATAATCACTCAAAAAGTTTTTTTTTTTTTTTTAAATTACTTAGGGTGATATCTGCATAACTGAGTCAATCAAAATCACACTTTCTGACTGAAAACTTGAAATGCTACTAAGTTCAGAACAGTTTTGAAGACAGGGCAGTGAGAAGAGTATGGAAGAAAACAGAATGGAGACAAGGTTTCTACTTTTTGTTGGTACCTGGGAATGATGATGCATTATAATAGATAATGATGGTGCATTATAATAGATATAAAGTAATGTTGTATTCATCACTGTTTTTTAAACCTAATACTTTCTACAAAGTTGGTCAAGGCCAACAATCTAATTAAATTTTAACACTTTAAATTCTGAGTTTAATAAAAGGTATAATACACACATAAAAAAATGAGGAAATTTTGTAAGTGCTTTTAGCTAAGAACACAGGGGGCCCAGCAAATCAATTTCAATAGGATATGAGTTTAGAGAAGTTCTATTATCATGCTTATGAACACGCAAACAAAAAACAAAAGATATGCACAAGATTCATCTTACCCATTGAAAATTTTCGTTTTCCCAGTCTCTCAGTAAGACTCAATTTAACCAAGGGTTCTTCTCCTGAAATGCCAAAAATATAATTCTCTACTACTAGCCAAGTTTTCAGTACTTAATAACTACTAATAATGGGTACAAAGTATATTCTGACATGTACAAAGTATATTATCACCCCGCCCCAGAATTGTCCTGAAAATCAGGTCTCAAGTCTTAAGGAAATCTATCACATTGAACAATAACAACAACAACAAAAAAACCAATTTTAATAATTTTAAGCAGTCAAATGCACAGCCCAAATAAAAGCCAACAGCACAGTTTTAATTATTAACAGCAACCAAGTATAATACAAATTATGTTCCAATTGGTTACAGAGTCCAAGCTTTTTACTTTTTTTTTTTTTTAATCAGGGTTTGAACCTAGGGATGTTTAACCACTAAGCCACATTCCCAGCACCTCCCCCTTTTTAAATTTTTTATTTTGAGACAGGGTCTCACTAAGTTGCTGAGGTTGGATCACAAGTTATCCTCCTGCCTCAGCCTCCCGTTGCTGGGATTGCAGGTGTGCACCACCATGCCCATCCCAAGCTTTACTTTTGCTTTGGCACTTTGATAAGCTATATTATATAGCCTTCTTTTATCACCCCACCATGTAAGATTTCTTTCCTCTAATTTTTGGTTATTTGGCATAAATTTAAGTGTACCTATTATACTGCAATTTATTCCTTACTAGATTTTAAACTGTTGAGTGAAAAGACTTGTGTTTTTTGTAACTCAAAGCATTTATTACAATTATTTACCCACAATAAGAAGTCAATAAATTAGCTGAATGAATATAAACAGTAAGTGTATAAATTAAATATAAATAAATGTGAGGATGGCTTAATTAAGTATTTCTACCTTTTAAATGGTAGAGCCAAATGTACTTCTTTTTATCCTTATATCTGATCAATACACTAAAGTCTTCATGCAAATCCATAAAAGGTAAAAAAATTCCTAAAGATTCTTCATTCCCAATGACTGCATTAAAGTAAAAGGCCAATAACTCTCAGATCTACCTATACCTTACCTTGTTTGTTTGACAGAGTTACTGTCCTCACCACAGTCCGAACATTCTCTTTTTCGGGACCTGGAATAGGCTGAGGTTGGAGTAAAAGACTGGAAACTCCTGCAGAACCTTCTAAATAAGGAAGGTCAAAGAATGGCAAACAATTTGTGGAAAATAAAGATATCATAAGTAAAAAAAAAAAAAAATTGTCTTTATGACTAGTTAAGTTCAATACTGACTGCTATATGATACAAATCAATCACTTTTCTGTACCTGTCTGCCCAGTGAAATGGCGTAATGTTAGGGAAAGGCTTGGATACAATGTGAAAATAAAATATAAAATAAATTTATATAACTCAAATCTATGAGGCACTCAACCTACTTTTATTTACTGGTAAGGCTACAAGTATTCTAAAGTTAATCTCAGAAGTATATCAACCATCAGGTATATCAGTTTAACCTTTCCATCTAAAATCATTAAACACAACTCAAGGTTCTTATAGAATAAGCTTTAATATGATAGTTTTTAGAACCAACCATCTTTTTCTCTATATACATTTCACATCTTATCTAAAACTTTTAGGGTTGGAAATATATATTCACCAGATTGAGAGAAGCTCCAGAAGAAAACCCAGCAACTCTCAAGGAAACACTCTTCTATCACAAAATGAAATTTTTGCCTTCTTTTTTTGGGTGACATGGGGATTGAACTCAGGGGTGCCCTACCACTGAGCTATATCCATAGCCATTTTTATTTGTCATTTTGAGACAGGGTCTCACTAAATTGCTTAGGGCCTCACCAAATCGTAGAGGCTGTCCTGCTCCTGTTTCAGTCTCCCAAATCACTGGGATTACGGGACTGCACCAGCTCTTCTAATTTTTCACTTTCATATACAGTCTTGCTAGGTTGCTAAGACTGGCCTCAAACTTGCAATCCTCCTGCCTCAGCCTCCCAAAGAGCTGGCAATACAGGACTGCGATCAGCATGTTTGCTCTCTTAAGATGGTCCATTTTTTCCCTCTCAACTTATAAATAATATGGTTCTTATATGGTATTCTTTAGAGCTATGCTTGCCAAGATACACAGGTTTTTTTAGGTTACTACATTTGTCTAGCTCTGAACAGTTAGCATTGAGACACTGCTGCAAATAAGTCTGTTATACTTAAAACAAGCCACATGACTCAAAATCTATTTGCTCATTTTTGCTGTTGCTTCAAAAAGAGGTAACATACTTGTAAAACCAAACTGTGCCCACACTTTTGTGACTTACCACCTTGCTTCTTAGATTTTTCTTTCATTTTCTTTGATTTAATTTCCTCAAGAGTTTTTATTCCGAAATTCAAACATTCCCCTGAAAAACCAAAATGTAAATCACATGAAGAACTAGAGCATGGAAGACATTAAAATATTTCTTTAATGAATGACTAGGAGAAAATATGTTTATATAGTATGGGGGAGAAAATAGAGAGACCCATAACTGAACTGAATTTCAAAAGTAATCACAATAGTCTGGACATATTTCAACAGTGCTAAAAGATTTATCAACAACAAAGCCTCTTCTTACCTTGCTTTAAAGTGACCCCAGGTTTTCGAGCAGAAGTTACTCGTAATCCATTATGAACTTCAGGAGTTGGTTGCAGGGTAGGTGTTTTAGTTTCATCACCCTCCTCAGAAAACTGGTCTGTACGTCAACAATGAGGACAAATTTATGATTTAAATCAGACTTAGAGCATTAACTCTCATTCTGTACAATTTAATACATGACTCTGGCTGCTTATTTGCCTTTATTAAAGAAAAACCTAAAACCTACCATCATCATCTTCATCATCATCTGCAGCATTGATTACAACTGGTGGATGTGTGGGGCTAGGGACGTTTTCAGAACTTTCTACTTTCATAACACTCCGCAGCTGAGGGGAGGGATTAGACTGGACAGACAATTTGTTCTGCTGAACTGTGAGCTGGCTCGTCTTCACTTCTTCTTCTGATGATTCAGACACAGTGGGCAATACAGCTAAATATACAAAACCAGTCAAATTAAAAATTATGATAAGTTTGATACATATTTCCCTAAGACTTTTTTAAAAAAATATCTTTATTTTACATTTATGTGGTGCTGAGGATAGAACCCAGTGCCTCGTGCATGCTAGGCGAGCACTCTACCACTGAGCCACAACTCCAGCCCCAAGACTTTTTAACCTAATTTTCCCATTTAGGTTTTGAACGTGCAGGGATGAAAAAAAATGGAGTTTTAGCCAATAATTCTTCACTATATTGAAACACAGTGGAAACTCATAAATCAAAAGACTGGATGTATAGCAGTGGTTTGCAAATTCTATCCATTTAATTTTAAAATTAAGGTTCTAACAGGGTACAGTGGTGCATGCCCGTAATTCCAGCTACGTGTGAGGCTGAGGCAAGTGCTAGAAAGTTTGAGGTCACTTGGGCAAGCTTGAGAGACCCTGTCTCAAATAAGGGCTGTAGATGTAACTCAGTAGTAGAGTGCTCTTGGGTTCAATCTCTAGTACCACCACCACCATCAAAAAGGGGGGGGGGGGTGGTGTAGAAAAGACTGATCCTATTTTTTGCACCTAATTAGACATGAAAAGATGTAGCCATAAAATTTTAATCACATAGCAAATGTGGCTATTTATTTATTTATGCATGCATTATTGAACACTGAACCCCAGGACTTAGTGCATGCCAGGCAAGTGCTCAACCACTGAGCTATACCCCCAGTCATGGATGTGCCTTTTTAATGGGCAATAATTCCAGAAGGAAATTACTTTAAAGGGGACTTTGGAAAGAAATGCCAGATTTCTGGAGAATATATATTTTATTATAGCTGATAGTTTAGGGCATGGTTGGCAAACTTTTTCTATAAAGAGCCCAATTCTTCTAGGCCTTGTGGGCCATACGGTTGCTGTCTCAACTATTCAACTCTGCAGGGGTAGCATAAAACCGGCCAAACAAAATATGTAACTGAATGGACAAGGCTGCATTCTATAAATGTTTTACAAAATAGACTGAAGACCAGACTTGCCATCCCCTGTGGAATGAAGTTTCTTTTGAGAATCTATATGACCCCTCTATGGATCTGGTAAGAGAATGAGAACTAAAGCAAGCTACAGGAATCTAATCTGGCATGCCAAGAAACATTTGGTTCTATGACTATGTACAAATAATCTAACCTTAATAAGGTTCAGTTTCCTCATCTGCAAAGTGGAAATAATACTATTTTCTCACTAGACTGAAAGAAGGCAATGTATAAAAAGTACTTTGTGTAGTGTGTATAGTAGGCATTCATTTAATAATATATATTCTTTTAAAACTAAAAACTCATCTCACTTTTGCTTGGAGGTAGAAACAGGCCATCAACATAACGTCCTCTATTGTGATGGAAAGCGCAGTTCAGTTTTTGACATCCCATTGGTTGATTTTCCCAATAACAAGGAATTTCACTGCGTTTTTTCTGTAAGAGACAAAGACACATTGTTTTCAAATAAAGAACAAAGGGAATCCTGTATTAATCCAGTAATTTGTTTTCTGGACAAAGTTAACACAAGGTATAAAAATCTGAGACGTGAGGGGCTGGGATTGTGGCTCAGCAGGCCTAGCACGTGCAAGGTGCTGGATTCAATCCTCAGCACCACAAATAAATAAATAAAATAAAATTATTTTTTAAAAAAATCTGAGGCATGAGAAATGATTTTTAGCAAAAAGTAGAGAGGTTGCTGAAAGTGACATAGTTTAGACATAGTAGTGAGATGGAAGGAACAGGAGTACAGTTCATCTGCTAATGTTTCCTTCTTGCCCTCATCCTGAAATCTCTAAAGAAGTAGGATAATATAGTAAGTACCTAAGAATATAAAATCAAAGATAACAGGGTTTTCATCTCTATTATGTTAATGTTAGCCATGTGACCTGGAACAATTTAATGCCTCTCAACTTCACTTTCCTTAGCTATAAAATGGGAATGTGATAGTAGCTAAATAATAATCTCAACTTCACTTTTCTTAGCTATAAAATGGGAATGTGATAGTAGCTAAATAATGTTTTATTTTTTTAAATGAAGATTAAATGAAATAATGTATGTGAAGCACCTAGTACACAGAATCAAGTCAATGAACTGCAATTATTATTTGAAGATGTAATTTCAAGGTTCTTAGAAAATTTTTCATTCTTGATTTCTCAAAGGCAGGCACATATAACTTACTAAGGATGGTATGTATTCTTCCAAGCCACCTCACTGTTATAAAAGAGAACTGGGGGAGAAGAATATCTGCAGGGTTGGGGTGTAACTCAGTGACAGACTATCTGCCTAGCATGCATAAGGCCCAGCACCAATGTGGGGAATGTTCAAAGCAACATCATTTGTAATAGTTTAATTTCACAGGGTCCAAGGATAGACTGTTGATTCTCATGAATTATTTAAATAGCTATGTTCTATGAAGTCACTGGGGACACTGAATTAGTGAACACTAAACCAATGCTTCTAAGGGAAATACAGGGTCAGTTTCCTATGATTCTCTGGTCACATCTTCATCAACCAATCAACACATAATCTAGTTCTCAGAGATGCAGCCAACTAAGTCTGTATAGAAATTTTAACAGGTCTGAGACTATTCTCCCTAGAAAGGCCTGTATGCATGGTTGGTCTTTGGCTGGCATCTGAAAATCCGGCCCTTAGAATGCCCCCAGTTAACTGATAATGGGGGGAGAGAAGAGGCTCAAACTGTGCTTAAACTGTCTGTGCAAATAATATGGTTTATGGTGAATAATGCTCCTTCCTGAGTCTAGAATTTTGGTACATGTTAGAAAACAAGCGCCTAATACCCTATTGGCCATCCCTAAGAAAAACCTGGGACAGCAAGTCTCTAATGGACCTTTCTGGGCAAAAATATCACGAGTTGCTACATTTCATTGCAGAGGAAAGAGTATATTCTGTGCAACTCCCAGGGGAGGGAGTAAGCAGAAACAAACCTGCATGCTAGCTGGGCATGGCAGCACATGCCTGGAATCCTAGCTACACAGGAGGATTGTAAGTTCAAGGTCAGCCTAGGCATTTAGCATATTTCAAAAAATAAAATAAAAAGGGATCCACATATAGGCTCAATGGTAGAGAGCTTGCCTAGCATGCAAGATCACCGGGTTCAATTCCCAATACCACCACAAAAAAACAAACAAGCCTGCATGTTGTTTCAGCCAGACTCTCTTTCTCTTATGATCCAACAGTGTATCCTTACTTTACTGTTGTAATAAATCACAGCTGGGAGAATACTGTAGAGAATTGTTCACAGAGATCCTGATATAATTCTCCATAGGAGTTGTGCCTATTTACTCTGCAGGAGCAATGTTACACATGACTTTGCAAAAGTTATACAGTAGGATTTTTCTGAATTTATTTAGTGAGTCCTCTGGCTATCTGCAAGGAAGGGAGCTTAGAATGGAGTTCAGAAATAAAATCTAGAAGCAAAATGAAGTAGTTATATGACCACAGGCATACAATTTGCATATTTAGTCTCTCTTTTTTCTTTCCTCATCCCACCTTAACATGTTGGTCCAAAGTCATTACATGGGCATGAGGGAACCGGGCACTCATCTGGGGAAAGAAAATGGATGGTGGCCCAGAGCAGGATGCTGGGGCCTAAGTACGATATTGGAACTTACAATGGGTTAAGAGGACACTACATGGGAGGATGGCCTGACCAGTGTTGGAGTCTGAGTGATGAGCAAGGGTTCTGTGCACAGATGATCCCCACGTAGGATGAAGAGGCTACACTCATGTAGGCAGAATGCAACGGGCATCAAAGATCCAATTGGTTGAGTAAGGTTGGGTCTTCCTGAGAGAAATTGGTACAAAGTAGGAAAGGAGCATATCACATGGGAGGGTGGCCTACTATAAAGTATTAGAGCCCAAAGGAGTGAAAAGAGCATCTACTGGGGAGATTGAAGTCCAGAGTAGAATACTGGGGTTTGAGCTGGGTAAGGAAAGGTTTCCCCACCATGGAGTAATAGAGGGTGCCAGCCATCGTATGCTACAGTTAAAACAAGATGATCCGGGTGTGGTGGTGCATGCCTGTAATCCCAGCAGCTTGGGAAACTAAGGCAGGAGGATCATGAGTTCAAAGCCAGCCTGAGCAAAGGCAAGGCACTAAGCAACTCAGTGAGACCCTGTCTCTAAATGAAATACAAAATAGGGCTGGGGATATAGCTCAGTGGTTGAATGTCCCTGAGTTCAATCTCTGGTACAAAAAAAAAAAAAAAAAACCCAAGATGAGAAAAGTTTCCCTGTAGAGGGGCAGCCTCATGTGTGGCGTCATAGCCTGAAAGGATGGAAGACGTTGTGACAAAATATTGATTTACTAAGGGACTGATCAAATAAGTTAAAGCGTTAAGAACAATGGGAACCACATTTCTCACTTTTGAAGAGTTAATGAGAGAAGCCTAAACTAAACCCTATGATATTAAGGAACTAGAAGCATCTATGTGAACTCATGTTTTTAATAAGCACAAAGTAACAATTAATTATGTACATGTCCATCTGCATATATACTTTTATATTCCGGAGCTCTGTCCACTAAGAGAAGCTGGAAGCAATGATACTCCAAGAATAGCCCTAAACTTAGTTTCTATACACCATTCTTCACTAAAAGAAACCAGTACATCATGGAGAAATGGCTGATTCTAGGGCTTAAGGAGGAAAATTACAGGATAACCCAGAAAATAAGACAAAAAGTAAAAGGGTTCTAAAGAATGATGAATGATGAAAAGTATATTAAAGTCAGCTTGAAGGGCTCCTACAGGCCCCGTTCGGGTCAAAGTGAGCATTAAAAATAAACAACAATAGTAACAGAGTACAACACATTGAATAAAATGAAACCATGAGTTCACACTAATATAAATAAATACCTGGAAAAAAAATTTCTTTTGATGAGAAACAGGATATTTATAGGGTCTCAAAGTATCTCCCGACAAAATACTTCTAAACTTAAAAACCTTTTTTCTTGAGAAGAACAATCTGGCAGATATCATTTTAATCAGGTGATCCAAATTAAAACACCACTAATGGGAAAAGTAAAATTGAACACCACCTGATGATTTGCAGTGAAAATACTACTTTTGTGATACTTCTGTTAAAGATACACTATCTTAATTTAGTAATGAGAAAATACAAACAAACCCCAGTCAAGGAACATTCAACAAAATAAGTGACCAATAACTACCAAAAGTGTCAAGACCAATAAAAGGCAAGGCAAGACTAAGCAACTGCTCTTGACTGAATAAGACTAAAGCATCATGACAGCTACAGGCAACACTTGAATCTGGACTTGCTCCGACCATAAAGGATATTACTGGGATAACTCGCAAAACCTGCATGGGATCTGAGGGTTAAACAGAGGTAACATATCAATGTTAATTTTCTAACATTGATAGCTTCCTGTTTCCTTTTCTAAGGAAATATTTAAAGTATCTGGAAATGATCAAGAATGTCAGTAATTGACTGCCGAATTTATACTGTACTTCCAATTTTCCTGAGTTTGTAATTGTAATTGTTTGGAAATAAGGAATACAGCTGGGCACTGTAGCACAGGCCTATAATGCCAGCTATTTGGGAGGCTGAGCCAGGAGGATTGAAAGTTTGAGGCTAGGCTGAACAGTTTAGCAAGACGCTGTCTCAAAATAAAATTTTAAAAAGATCTTTGGATGTAGCTCAGTGGTAGAATGTTTTTCTAGAAAGTATAAGGCCATGAGTACAATGCCCTGTTACCAAAAAAATAGAGATAAATATATTAGCAACTGCCTTCCAGAAAAATCATACTGATTCATGCTCTGTAACATTTAGTTATTGGCCAGGAGAGGTGGTGCACACCTGTAAGCCCAGCAGTTTGGGAGGCTGAGGCAGGAGGACTGCAAGTTCAAAACCAGCCTCAGCAAAACTGAGGTGTTAAGCAACTCAATGAGATTCTGTCTCTAAAATACAAAACAAGGTTGGGGATGTGGCTCAGTAGTTGAGTGACCCTGAGTTCAATACCCAGTACCCCTCCACCCCGGCCGCCAAAAAAGCAGCAAACATTTAATTGTTAAGTGAGCATTAATGAAAAAAAAGAAATTAAAAAAAAAAAAAAAAGTGAGCATTAATGTCAGAAATTTCACTGGAACATTATGGTAATACAAATCAAAAGCTTACATCAATTTCCATGTGTCGAAACCTGCACACCTGTCGAAAACAGCGCCCTTCCTGCCATAATGTGCAAACAGTTTCATTTCCTAGTGCAGCTTCACAGTGACGGAATGGGCAGCTGTCACCCTGTTAATAAAAAAGAACATGTGTAACTGAAATAGGCATCCTAGGTAAAGAGTCTAGAATCTAGACAAACATAAATTAGTAAGGAAGACAGGTATGGTAGAAAATAACTGAAATGGGATGACTATAATCTACTTCTTGACAGTATCCTTCATCTGACCTGACAACCTGCGTAACACAAGCTGAAAGACAGGGTTGAAAACGACAGAAGTTGTTATGTACTCAATAAAATATCTTACAGTTCATCTTCAAAAGCATTCCACACATCCTAACTTGTGTAATTCCAGCTTTTGAGAGCAAATTACAAAGTTAACAGATAAGGACTTAAGTATAACAATCTAGGGCTCAGTTAGTAGAGTAATTGCCTTACATGCACAATGCCCTGGGTTTCAATCCCCAACACCAAAAAAAAGGGTGTAATCAAACTAATATAATTTAAGCTTCTCTTCATACCTTAGCTGAAACAAAATGCAAGTGTGCAAATTGCTGTTTGTAAAATAGATTACATTATCAGAACTTTGCTTAAAACTTATTATTTTGTGGAGGTCCTCCCCCAACTCCCAGTTAGGGATTGGACCTAGGATCTTATGCATCAGGAAACAAGCACTCTGCCACAGAACTATACTCCCAATCCTAAAACTTACCATTTTAAATACAACATCAAGATGATTCAAGAAAAAGTTACTATAACACATTAATGTGTTGGGCATGGTGGCATACTCCCATAATCCCAGTGACTCAGGAGGCTGAGGCAGGAGGATTTCAAGTTCAAGATCAACCTTAGCAACTTCATGAGGCCCTAAGCACTTAGTGAGGCCCTATTTCAAAATAAAACATAAAAAACGGATGGTGGGGTTGGGGAGGCTGGGGTTGTGGCTCAGTGATAGAGCACTTGGGGCACTGGGTTCAATCCTCAGCACCACATAAAAATAAACAAAATAAAGGTATTTGTCCACCTGCAAAAAAAAAAAATATATATGTATGTATGTGTGTGTGTGTGTGTATATATATATATATATATATTTTTTTTTTTTTTTTTTTTTTAAGGGTGGGGGATGTGGCTTAGTAGTTAAGCAACCCTGGGTTCAATTTCCAGTACCAAAAACCAAAAAAATAACAACAAAAAAACCCCATACAAATGCACAGAATGTCATAAAGAAGTAACTGAAAGTAGTACCTATCTAAATAGAGATACAGAAGAATCAAGCAGAAAAATAGGAAATTTGGACTAAGACAAAGCAAAAATGCTACAAAAGCATATTTAGAAAGATAGCTTTATGGCTGGGATTGTGGCTCAGCGGTAGAGTGCTCGCCTAGCACGGGCAGGACCCGGGCTTCAATCCTCAGCACCATACAAAAATAAAGGCATTGTGTTGTGTCCATCTACACCTAAAAAAATAAATATTAAAAAAAAAAAAAAAAAAAAGATAGCTTTATATTCTTAGCCACAAGAAATCTGGGAGAAGTCAATACAACCACCCACTCACTTAATACAAAATACATAAAATCAAACAGAATAAGCCATGGATCAAAGTGCCCACAGTTCCAAAGACACTCTGAATAGATTAATTACAGATAAGAGAACACTGATGACTGTGCCATTGGTCATTTCATATTTTTTAGAATATGGAAAAATTAGTTATATATAAAATGCAGAAGAAAAAATAAAATTCTTCTTTACTATAAAACTGACAGCAGATAAACAGTTGAGCAAAACAAAACAAAAGCAATTTAGGATGCATGAAAAACCCTCATTTATTAAAGAAACTATAAATAAAACTGATTCAGTAATATTAATACTTACTTTGGTACATGTAGAATAGAAAAAAAAATAGCAGTCTTCTCCTTGATTAGACATGCTGGGTAAATTCTTAGCCCAGAAAATGGCTTCTTGAAGTAAGCCACTGCTTCCTCAAGGCGAGGACCAGCGCCAAATCCTTTTGAAATGGGTTTGATCTTCCAAATGACAACTCAATCACAGAAATCGGCTTTAAAACACAATCCTAAAATAAGGAGACAATGAATTAAAACATTTCAGGTAAATTCCTGCAATATTCTCCACCAAATCATCCTGAGATTACTTTGTTAAAACCAAATTTTAACTAATTATATTAACATACACATGTCTCAACAGAGCCTTGTAAACATAATGACTGAGAACATTGTACATTCCCATCTACAACGTTAAAATTTTATTAAAGATAACCATGTCCTTTTTTTCTTTTGTATTCTCATAGGGTGCCTGTTTATTACTGCTTCAGAATAAATTTATTTTTTGTATTTTTTTTAAATTTCAGAATAAAATTTATATAAGTATTGTAACTAAATATATGATCTACATAGATTCATGGGATCTAGGTTACTTTACACAAGATACATTCTAAATCTACATTTCTAGCACTAGGTTTTTTTTCATCTAAATGAAAAAGTTCAGATAGCTTCATAACCATTTGTTTTATTTCAAAAGTATACCATTGTAACTAGGTGGGAAAATATTAGCTGTAATAATTGGTGAAAGAATTACCTTTGAAAACATCTGAGTTAGCTTATATACTGAAGGTGGCTAAAGAGCTGCACACTGTAAGTAAGGAGCAAAAGAAGTCTTCAAGACTATTCCCATAAAACAGTAATTCCACAAAACAATGAACATTCTAGCCTCAAGCCCCTGCCATACCCTGGTCCCCACACTAAAGTGTCCAAGAAAGCTTCTATAAAATCCAATATAGGGCTGTGGTTGTGGCTCAGTTGTAGAGCGCTTGCCTAGCATGTGTGAGGCACTGGGTTTAATCCTCATCATCATATAAAAAATAAATAAAATAAAGGTATTATGTCCATTACGACCTCTCTCTCTCACTCTCTCTACAGCAAATATATAAAAGCATACATGAGAATATGGAAGGGTTTTCTTTATATCCATACACCAGAAGATCAGGTTTCATAAACATTGATCTACCACTTGAAATCAAAACGAACTGAATCTTATCTCCCACTAATAATTCCTAATCCAAGACTACTATGCCATGATGAAAACCAACCTTCAAGTCAACAACCTAGGTTAGGAGAAGAGTCTGTAACTAACCATGTACCAAAAGTTTTAAACTGCATAAACCCTTTGACCCAATTATTCAATTCCTAAAATTTATCCTAAGATAAGAATATTCAACAAATATTCAAGGTAATAATACCCAAGAAAATACATCACCATCTTGTTTCTAATGTTCAAAAACCAGAGTCTGTTTAAAAAAATTATAGTACATCCACAATACAACAATGTGCAGCCTAACAGAGTTTGGTACCAAATAGTTAACTCTGATATAAAAATATCCCTAGAAATGGGGATGCAGCTTTGGAATACAGTCATAAGTAGAGGCTGGAAGAGTTCTGAAGCGCTTCACAGAAGAAACCTAGAAATTACAGCTAAAAAGAATTATGTTTAAAGGTACTTCTGGTGAGGTCTCAGTTGGAAATAGGAGCAAGTTATCAGAAACTTGAGGAAAGATGATTGTTACAAAATGGTAGAGAACTTGGTGGAACTGTGTTCTGTTGGGTGGAAGGTAGAACTTGTAAGCAAAGACTGTGGATATTTACCTGAGATGTCTAAGCAAACTGTGGAGGAACAGCATGTTTTTGCCTTACTGTTGACAGGAATGTGCAAGAAGAAGAGATTATCAAGGAACTATTAAACAAAAAAGAAGCAGAGCTTAAAGATTTGGAAAATACTCAGCTTACTCATATGGGGATGGGGAGAATCAAGCAAAATGATGAAGACCTGTAATCCTAGTATCCAGGGGCTGAGGCAGGAGGATCAGATGTTCAAAGCCAGCCTCAAGGAATTTAGTGAGGCCCTAAGCAATTTAGTAAGACCCTGTCTCAAAAAAAATAAACATCTGTTCTATGAAAGAACTGATAAGAGGATGAAAAGGTAAACCATAGGTTGGGAGAAAATCTTTGCAAGACAGGCAACTTGGCAAGACTCTGTCTCAAATTTTTAAAAAGGGCTGGAATAGCTCAGTGACAAAGAGTTCAATTCGCACCACCACATATATAAATATACACATACAAAATTTGTACGTGTGCACATGTGTGTACATATACATGTGTATATATGTGTGTGTGTGTATTATTTTTCATTAAGGGGTAAAAGGTAAATTTTCATTAAGGGGTAAAATAGTTTGAATTGCAAATTTAGGTCTGCAAAGCTCCCTCAAAGTTAAGCAGAATGTGGGGAGATTGAATCTTGAGTAGATAGGCACTTCCTTACTAATGTTTCAACAGAAAGGATCCTCTATGTATGTTTCACATTACTGGACTTCTATAACTTTCATTAGGAAAAAAATATGAACATAATTGCTATTTTAAAAAATGGCAATTTGGGGGTTAGAGTTGTGGCTCAGCAGTAGAGCACTTGCCTAGCATGTGTTAGGCACTGGGTTCGATCCTCAGTACCACATATAAATAAATGAATAAAATAAAGGTCCATCAATATTTTAAAAAATATTAAAAAAAGAAAATGGCAATTTAGCCAGGCATGGTGATGCATGCCTATAATCCCAGTGACTTGGGAGGCCAAAGCAGGAGGATCATAAGATTGAGGCCACCTGGACAATTTAGCAAGATCCTATCTAAAAGAGATTGGGGTGTAGCTTGGTGGTAAAGCACCCCTGGGTTTAATCAGTACCAGGGTGGGCAGGGAAGGGTTGAAAGGAAGAGAAACCTTAGAAAACTCAAATTTCTATCTTCTCACCTCAAAGATAGTTTAATGGAGGGAACAGAATAACAGAATAAAAATCAATGAAAAACACAATTGAATTTTAAGAGATCACTGGCAGAACATCTCTGAGAATCCAAAGCAAAAATGGAAAAGATGTCAACGAGAGAAAAGGTATACAACATGGAATTTTAGGAAATTCAATTTCTAGACAACAGAAATTCTAAAAAAAGAAATGAAATTGGTAGCACAATAAGAGGAAAAAATCCCAGAAAACTTCTCTAAACTGGATGAACTTGAGCCTTTAAAAAGAGGCTTATGATATGCCCTACTAAACTTTTAAGATTATTCTACTCTACATAGACATGGTTAAAAATTTTAATTCCAACAGTAAAGACAAAGTCATGTAAACTTCCAGGAAAAAGCAGACTAACAAAGCAAAGAACAAGAGACTTAACATTATTACACTTCGCATCTGAAATTCTAAATTCCAAAAGACAATACTACGCAACCAGATCTAAAGGATATTATGACCTTAGATTTAGCCTTTCAAACTATATTTCATGAACAGCTCAAGTTTTTACACATGGAAAGTCTCAAAAAGTATGCCCTTCCCAGCCATGGTGGTGCATACCTTTAACCCCATCAGTTAAGGAGGCCAAGGCAGAAGGATCACAAGTTTGAAGACAGCCTGGGCACATTAGAAGAACTTTGAGCAACTTAGAAAGACGCTGTTTCAAATTAAAAAAATAAAAAGGACTGCAGATGTTGCTCAGTGGTAAAGCACCAGAGTTCAATCCCCAGTACCAAAAATAAACAAAAAACAAAATCCAAGTATACTCTTTATGTACTTTTTCCATTTTTGGAAAAAAATCATCCAAGCAAGTACTATAACTTAGGAAGAATTACTCAGAAAAAAGAACTCAATAAAAGTGCAAAAGAACAAACCATATTATTTTTATAAAAAATAAAAAGGACTGGGGATATAACTCAGCGGTAAATGGCCACTGGGTTCAAACCCTGGTACCCCCCTGAAAAATAAGTACTATTCACTCTTTTAAAAAAAGTTTTAAAACAACTACTTCAGACATCTGATTTATGATACAAATAAAAATCCCAATAAAGCATTAGCCAGTTAAACCAGCAATGTATTAAAAGAGTAATACACTCTTCTAATAGGCTGATTTCAGAACTAAGAATGGTCTAACATTAAGCAATTCATTACATTAATAAAGGGCATTAAAAAAAAAAACAAAAAACAAAAAAAAACCAACCCCTGTGGTACTCTAAGCAAGATTTCAAAAGAAATAAAATGGCCAGACACAGAGGTACACACCTGTGATCCCAGCTACTCAGAAGGCTGAGGCAGGAGGACTGCAAGTTTAAGGTTAGCCTGGACAACTTAATGAGATCCTGTCTAAAAAGAAAAAATTTAAAAAAGGGGGCTGGGAATTCATTTAGTGGTAAAGCATCTCTGGGTTCAATGTGCAGTACAAAAAAGGAGGGAGGGAGGGCTGGGGCTGCAGCTCAGTGGTAAAGCACTTGCCTATCATGTGTGGAGGCATTGGGTTGGACCACATAACAAACAAATGAATTGTGTCTATCTTCTAAAAAAATGAAAAAGAAATAAATGGTTAAAAGAGAGAGAAAAAAAAAAAAAAGGAGTTCAAAATGGTATTTTTTTAAAAAAGACAATAATGGCTAAAAAAAAAGGGCAAGCTAAGCTGGGCATAGTGGTGCATGCCTATATAATCTTAGAGGTGAGAGAGGCTGAGGCAGGAGGATCAAGTTTAAGCCGGCCTGGGCAATTTAACAAGACCCTGTCCTAAAATAAAAAATAAAAAGGACTGGGGATATAACTCAGCGGTAAATGGCCCCTGGGTTCAAACCCTGGTATCCCCCTGAAAAAAGCAAGGGAGTTAAAATGCAACATCTACTCCTGGTTTTAAAAAAATAAAAAAGGAACTGCCTTAGCATAAATGCATATAATCATCAAACTGGCAGCATGCACAGATGGTAAAGTACTACGGGTGAACTCACTGAAGACAGATGCAAAGATACTCAACTGTTGCCACTATCATTCAAAACTCTTCCAGAGTAGGACACATTCCTATAATCCCAGCAACTCGGAAGGCTGAGGCAGAAGGATCACAAGTTTGAAGCCAGCCTGGGCAACTTAGCGAGACCCTGTCTCAAAATAAAAATAAAAGGGCTAGGGATGTAGCAACCCTGGGGTCAGTCAGTCCCCATTACCCCCACAACCTACCCCCCCCCCAAACAAAACAAAGCAAAACCAAAAAACCTGTTCCAGAGGTTCTAGTATGTACAGTAAAGAAAAAATACAAGGAAGGATGAGACCAAAAATCATCATAATAAAAAAATCTGCAAATTATATGTTTGCAAACTAGTAAATTTAATAATTTAAAAACAATAAAAATAATAATATAAATATACAAAAAGCAGTAAATCTGCTTAATGTCAGCAACAATCATTCAGACACGAGCGTCGTCATTCACAATAAAACCAGAAAATATGTAGAAAAAAAATGAAGAGTATGCAAAAGTCACATGGAATCAAAAACAAACCCCCGAAACTATGAAATGACTAAGGCACAGATGATCTGGATAACGGATAAATTTAAGAAGTAACTTCAAAATGCATACATTGAATGTAATTCATGCCAAATCCCAATGAGACTTTATTATTGGAATTGACAGATTATAAAATCACCTAGAAGTATAAGTGAGGGGAAAAAAAGATACTTTAAAAAGAAATGGAAGAGCCTCCCTCTGCCTGATATTACAAATGGAAAATACAACAATATTTACATGTAATGTTGGCAAATGAAATACAGTTCAATAGAATTCAAGAGCACCCCTAAATTATAATGTGATTTGTAAAAATAAGCGGCATTTGAGATTAACAAGAAACATGGCCAGCTATTTGGAAAAAAAAAAAAAAAGAACTTCGTAACAGTGGCAATGTCATATAACTACAATCCTCAGCATTTTTAAAATAAAATACATATTCACTAGACACTCAGAAAAAAAAATTTTTTTAAGCTCAGAGTGGAAAAAAAAAAAAAACCCTTTCCTAAGGTACCAATGATAAAAACTATAACAATAATATCGATAAAACTGGAAAACATTTATATAGCAAAAGATCTATCAGCAATATGGCCAAAGATTACTATCTTTATAAAAGATACACATCTATAACTTTTGCAAATTAAGACCTCCTTAATTGTTCAGTAAACTTCTACAACCTCTTATAAAAATTATATACAAATTATTATGATAATTATTATATAAAATATAATAATTCCATAAATTTGCATCTAAGAACTTGTTCTAGGGAAACAAGTTCATGTAGATGGGTGCATAAGGCTACTATTAGACACAGGGATATTTTTGTTTGTAAAACCCCAAATGTTTACCAATGAGGGATACACTGAGTTACAATGGACAATGGAACACTACATAGTCATTAAAAAGATGAGGCAGAGTAATGTGTATGGGCAAGGAACCATGTTGTGATAAACTATTAAATGTTTTCCTTCAAGGAAATGGAATTAGGGGAGGATTTCACCTTAGCTGTATTGTTTTTACCTTTTCACAATGTGCACTATCAAAAACAAAACAAAAGAAAGAACAAACGTTTCTATTCAAAAACTAAAAGTTTGTGAATAATTACAAGAAAAAAAATGACTGGACATTAGCCTTTTAATTTCTTACTAGTCCAGGAAAATTTTGCCTTAAATTACAAAAGTTTTTACTCCTTTAATGAGAAAAGACCCATTTCCCCCACTTACATTAGCTGGTTGCTCTCAACAGGAACGTCTGTGTCTTCACTGAGTTCCAATCTATTACGCCTGTAGGTCGAACCAACACTCAATCCATGAATTAATAATAATGAGGCAGAAAGAATTTTCTTCCTCACATTGCCAAGGAAACCTCTCAGCCACAATTGAAACACAGGATGTGTTTTTAAAACATCTCCCAACTACTGGAAGATTAAGTCCATTCAAATAACCTTTGCCAGCCTGGAGACAGCTAGCATTAGTTATCTCCTCAAAAAGAAAAAAAAAGAACAAAAAAGTTCATTTAAAAGATGAACTTGAAATTCAAAGATTTTTTTAAAAAATCCATCTTCCATAGCCGAACAATATAATTTAAAAAGGAAAAAAAAAAAAGAAAAAGAAAAAAAAAAAAAAGGGAAAAAAAAGAAAAAAGGAAAAGAAAAAAACACCAAAATTCAATAAGATCCAATTTCTGGTCTTCAAGATTTCTTCACCTATTAAGAAAAAAACAGAAACCTTCCCCCATCTTTATTATCTGTATAATAAAAGCATACTTGTATGTAAAAATATATAGTGTTTTATGTATATAATATACACATATACTAACTGGCTTATACACATACATACAAACACACACACACACACAAATGTGTAGAAATAAAACATCTGGGTAAGTTTCCTTTTTAAAAATACACTATAAAAGACTGTAGATTTGAGTACATTATAAAAATAGTGAACTTACATACCCAAGTAGCACGAAGCTAATGTTACACTAAATTTTGCCCAGCCCACAAAAATAAAGATGAAGGGAAACCCTTATACATATATCAAGGTGTATAAAATGATGTATCTATATCATCATCAAGGAGTGTTTAACCAAAAAAGATAGAAACGTATAGTTACAGAGTAACTACAGAGTGGTGCAGCAAGCTGTAGAAGGCAGAGCAGCATTATAGCCATTCTGAACTGGCACTGTCAAAACACAGAAAGCTTTTTTTTATCCAAGGGAAGACTTTTTTTTCCTTCTTTTATATTAACACCAGCCCTGTAAGGGCTTGCTTATGCAGCCTAGAACCAAATTCTTTACTACTGATGGCTATGGCTTTTAAAGACTATAATTATCCATTTACTCCAGTTAGTAAAAGGGTATATTTTGGAGTTGAAATTTCATTTCACAATGGTACATTTACCATTTAAGAATAAAAAAAAATTTTTTTGATGTACAGAAATGAGTTTTCTAAATTTTTGAAACCAGCCCAGTAACAAAGCAATTTTGATTCTCACATAATAAATACTACATAATTTCTAGGCTAAATCTTGCCAAATACTATCCAAGACAAAACTAAAATCAAAACTTAAAAAAAAGTGGACACCTTTTACTCACACTTAATACTAGTCAATTTTCCAGGATTTTTTTGGGCAGGGAATATCCCCAAATCTAAAATGAAAAAAAGGAAAAATTGGGATCTTACATTAGTTATTCAGTCTGAAACTTCTAATAGACTTTTACTAAAAGTCATCATTTTCTGGCTTCCCACTCAAATACAGAAACATACTTCCAGAGTGGAAAGGGACTTTTTAAAGAATCACTGGGATTAATCACTTATTTCACCAATGATTCCGAACACATGAAAATGCTGACTGCTTATTTTTAGTTAAGAATATACAGTGGCCAAAACAACTTCAGTTAGTTAATATTAATATTATGGATCATTAAGTATGTTTTTCAAAAGATCACCAAAAATTAAAAAAAACATTCTTCAGGAAAGGCAAACTGGTTTTGTTTAAGTATGCTCACAGGGCTTATAATCCAATCCTGTTCAACAGTTTCCAGTTTTGCAAACTTTTTACTATTATTAACCCATAAATTATGCAAAAGCACCTATATAATCTTTATTTTATAGTTTTATCCTATATATAAGGTTAAAAAGACAATTCAAAGACTAAAAATAACTATTTTCCTAATTGTTTCCTCTCTTTCCCTTTTATACAGACTCAATCCTAAACATAAAGGGTAATTCTATCATGCCCAATAATTTGAAATTATAAAGCTGACCAGTATGAGGAGGCAATTAGAAATTTCCAAATAGAAAACAAATTTTTCTTTTTTTTTGCCAAATTGTAACTGAACATCAGGGTTTTAAAAGATATAGAAAAATGGGGAGAGGGAAGGAGTACCAATTTAGTATGTTATTGTTTTTCTCAATTCATTGGTTTCAGAGTAATCAAACCTCTCATGCTGGAGGAAATTTTTATTTTAATTACTAGTTCAATCTACCAGTCAGAAATAGCCTAAGGCCTTTCAATGCTGCACTATATTTTTTTAATTAAAAAAAATCTTTTCTTTCTCAAATGATATAAACATTTTCAAAATTTCCAAGGTGTAACATTAAGTTTACAACTGTGAAATCTTTCGAGTTAACCTTCATTTTATCAACATTATATTGTCTCTGAGGAATTTCCAGCCCTTTTTGTTTTCGGGTTTCCCCAGGTTCAGTTTTGTGGCTGCTTGTTTTTAGAGATAGGGGTCTGGCTCTATTGCCCAGGCTGGTCTCGAACTTGTGGGCTTAAGCAATTCTCCCGCCTCAGCCTCCCAAGTAGCTGGGATTACAGGAGTGAGTCACCATGCTCGGGTGTTTTTGAAAGAATGATTAGTATGACTATATAATAACTATAGCAGTAAGGATACAATAAAATAGCAAAAAAGTTGCCCATTTTAAATGGAGAAAGGAAAAAGAAATCAAGACAATATTTCTTTTTCATTGCTTTGAACAACCTTATTCTGGGGATCCTGGCTTAGAACCAATGCAGAATAATCATAGTTAACATTTTTCAAGTTCATTTTCAGAAACATCAGCTGTTCTATATTGTCAAAGTCCAGGCTCATGATCTGCTTTGGATGGAAGTGGCTATTTGAAGTAAAGATACATTCAGATTGCCAACTACACATGGGGCAACTTAGATACTGAATAGCAACTTGGGTCAAAGCTGGCCATATGCTCAGTTTCCTTTGCCAATAAATCAAAGGATCATCACCTCCTGAGAGTTCTGAATACTTCTCTTTGAAGTACTCATCCACTACTGCTATTGCAGAAGGAAACATGAAGCCTTTGCTTCCAATGGCAACAGTGTCTGTGGCTGGGATATCCATGGAACCTGAATTGGAGGTGCCTTCTTTTATAGATGAGGTATATGAATCAACTCCTACTGTAACTAAGGGACCAGATGCTTCTGAAGCTGCAATTTGACAGGTTTCTGGTGAAGATTCCATATAATTACAAACCTCTTCTGCAAGAATCTGTTTATAAATTTCTAAATCAGCACCTTGAGGAAAAAAGTCTTCCAAACTGTTCTTAAAGCAAGGATCTAACAAAGTAGCCAAGATACAAGGTTTGGATTTGAGCATGGCACTTAGTAGGGTATCAGTTTCAAGTTTCAGAGATAAACTATCCACCAGATTGAGGGCCTGAGTAATACCTCTGACTTGAAAATCTTCTCTGAGTTTCTGAAGGGAAAGGAGTAGATGATGGATTAGGGGTAGCACCTGATTCAATCCTGTGGTCTTTACACTCACTTTCTGAGTGGCTTCCTCAAATGGTTTAAGAATATCACAAACATATGTCATTAGAGTCCACTGAAGAGATGTGAGCACAACTCCACTGGCTCTACCAAGACTATGGTGAACTGAGTAGCAGTGCTCCAAAAGCCACTTTAACATATAAAAGGTAGAAATCCAATGGCCAGTTTCATCCTGCTTCAAATTCTTCCATGGAAGCTGGTGATCATTTTGGAATTCTTGCAGTATCTGACGGGCCTTGACTGAATGACTAAAATGATGACAGGTTTTCCTAGCAGCCACTAACATATTCTCGATGCTTTTGTGCTCACAGAAGAAGTCCTGAATGACTATATTTAAACAATGCAGGAAGCAGGGCACATGAGTAAAACCACCATCTTTGATTGCATGTACCACATTAGAGGAATTATCAGAAACAATGAAGCTAGGGATAAGGAAATTGGGAGAAAGCCACAGACCAATCTGGTCATTTAATTCTTGTAAAATGTTTGTTATCAAACAGTCTTTGGCCAAACCAGTAACACAAAGCACAGCCCACTTTCTAAAATTGGGGATCCTGCCATTATTGGAAGAAGAGTCAGTTTCCAAAGAGACCCAGTGTACAGTCACAATGAAATAGTCAGTAGATGGGTCATGGGTCCATATGTCAACAGTCAGGTGGATCTTTTGACTTTGGACATTCTCTAAAGTTAAGAAAATCTTTTCTCTGACACAGTCATATAACTGAGGTACAACCTTAGTGAAAAAGTAAGTTTCTGATGGCAATCTATAGTCAGGAGCCACAATCTGCAGGAACCTCTGAAAAGCTGGAGTTGAGAAGTAGTTGTAAGGATGCATATCCTCCACAATCATTTGAATAATTGCCTGACTTATTTGACTTGAGGCTGGATTTTCACAATATGTTGTTTCTCTCTCTTGTTCATGCATGAGACTGTCTTGTTCTACAACAGGAATAGGACTCTCAGATCTATTTTCAACCTCTAACACAGGAGGTTCATCTGAATCAGAGTCACTAAGATCCTCAGCTGTTAAATCTTGGCTGCCTGTGGACTTCTCTCCATGCGTATCATTCAAAAGATCACTGCTCTCAGTCTCAGTCTCATCTAATCCATTTCCAAGAGCACCACTGTCTTTGTTGGCAACCGCCCAATGGATGGGATGTGTGGCCTGCAGGTGTCGTTGAAGTGTTGAAGTTCCTAAGTGGGAACCGGGCCTACCCCGGCTCACACTTCTTTTACATATATTACACACAGCTCTTGAGATGTGCTGAGGGTCAGTGTAAAAAAAGTTCCAAACTGCAGATGTCTTGGCTCTGGTTCCAGGAATTAAGGCATGCTTGACAATGTTACTTTTGATGAGAAATCTCCCTCTTTCTGCCCTTAGGGCATCAGATGCTGATTTATCACGTTTCTTACCCATTCTATTATCATCTAATGAATCAGCAGGAATATAATCAAAGCTTCCATTGCTTCCAGGAGAAGAGGGAGATAAAGATACATCCAAGCTAAAGTCCTCCTCCCCACTAGTGACTCCAAATTTGTTGGCCCTGGTCCAGTGAGGTGAATGCCTTGCCTGCAAATGTCGCTGAAGAGTAGATGTACCAAGATGACTGCCTGGTTTACCTCTGCTAACACTTTTTTCACAGAGGTTACAAATAGCCCGCCAGGTATACTGGGGATCAACATGAAAGAAATGCCACACAATGGAGGTCTTAGCTCTTGTACTAGGTAGATAGATCTGTTTTTCTATATTGCTCTCGAAAAGACTTTCTTCATCCTGTTCAGAGGCAGTGGGGGCTAACAAAGCAGGAGCATCTGCAACAGGCCTTCCAGATCCCAAATCCTTAGTAAATTTCTTGGCAAGGATCAACTTTTTTCGGCGCCTTTTCCCTTTAATTCGCAAACCCTTCTTTCTTTTCTTTTTAGCAGGCAATTTTGCCTCTTTATCCACTCCTTCTGCCACCATCTTTCCTTCTACCACATCTTCTTCAGCTGCATTAGAATTAATGGAAACACATCCCAGAATCCCAGCACCATTAAAAGTTCTGCATCTTCTACGAGGAGAGAGGGAAGAAACTGGTGCACTTAAAGTACATACACTCATTCTCTTTATGTCTCCAAAATTCGTACCAGAATTTGTCAGTGTGTTTATTAATCAAGCAGAAATACAGCTGTTCCTCTCTCCTTGCATTACCTTTTCTCCAATTTCTACAGGGAGTCAAATTCCCTTTGGACCAATGAATTCGAAGCCAGGTTATTTTTGGAGGAAAAATTACAGCAGTGAAGAACATTCCCAAACTCTTTCATAGAGGGCTTTAAGATCCCTTTCAACTTTTTGAGTTCTGAATTCAAAGTCCAGTGTCCTTACATTATTTAAAAAAAAAAAAAAAAACCTGAGGCCCACTCTCCGACAGTCATAGAGTTGAACTGTTTAGTACCAGCTAAAAGCCAGGTCTTTCAAACACCAGGTTCATGCTCTTCCTGCTTCACCAAGAACTATACCTGCTTGAAATGTCTTCAATTGTTAATATTTTAAGATGTCTCATGATAGCAACGATTTTTCCTTAGTTCTGAAACTTTCAGGAAATTTAATTTAAACAAAAACATAGTGCATCATTCAACATTCATAGTTTAGGACTGTGATTTGTCAATACAACCCCCAAAAATCAATTCTGGAAAGCTAAATGAGACTCCACATACTGGTCATTAACAGGAAATGTAGTTGGGCCCTTTCACTTCTGACTATAAGTAGTACATTTTTTTAAAATGCAGATAGCTGGAAAAGATCCTTTGGAAATAAAATTTTAAAACAGGAAAACAAGTTGCATTTTCAATTTGCCGTTTCTACCAAGCGTTAATGTTTTCAGACTGAAGCAGCATTACAGGTTGTAAATAAGTAACTCACAAGTTGGACTCTATATGAACAGTAAAAACTGAAATATGGGCTTTAAACTACTTTCATTCCTTTTCCACGGATCCCTCCCCTTTCCCCAATACCTACACACTTTTACCCTAAAAAGCATCTCTATTACTAGTTCCACCTCCTTCTCAAGGTCCAGAATCAAAGCCTGGAAGATGTCAACAATATGGGCCTTCCCCATAGGAATCCGCACCAATTATGGGAGTTTAGGGGGTGTTCTTCATTACGGTTCCACCAATCCTACAAGGAGAACGGAAGTGTCCCTGTAGCTCTCGACTCCGATGCTCGGGGCTGGGGAAGGGAGTGTAACTGGGGTGGGGAATGGGTGTAAGATCCCGGAATAAGGTCAATGGCTTTGAATGTGGAGTTTGAGAAAATCTCCAAAGTAGTAAGACCCCGGAGAGGAATGAGAGTAGGTCAACTCAGGTCCTGGCACCTGGTCTGCTTTAGGCAGTGAGCGTCCGCTAAACTGGAGAAACTGTTGCCCCGAAGAAAGCAATCTAGTGTCAGTTCGCTCTCCGGGGGTCGGGAACAGTCGGCTCTCCGGGAAGCTCCCAGATTCGCGAGCACCGGATGTGGGGGAGGGGAAGAAGGGTGGTTGGGAAGGGAGCAGGCGCCGTGGGGGTGGGGCGCAGTGGGGTGGGGGTGGGGGTGGGGGTGGGGGTGGGGAGGATGGGAAAAGTGAGCGGGAGCCTGGCTCCCAGCCTACACCGACAAGGGCCGCGGCGGAGGGGGTGGTCGTTACCGCGGCGCTGCAGAACCCCGCTCTAACTTCCCGGGCTAGGCCGCGACCCGGGGGCGAGGGGAGGCCGCTGCCACTCCCCTCGCCCTCTCCCCCACCTCCCTGGCTCCAAGCCACCCGGGAATCAAGAAACGGGTCTAGTTACCAGAGAACAGAAACTTTACCGAACCGATGACACTATCTCCGACTCCCGCCTGCTGCCACGTCTTTCTTCTTTCTTAGCCGCGGCCGCCCGCCGTCCTCACAGCAGCAGAACCAGCAGAAACCCGAGACTGCCAGCGTCAAAGATGGCGCCCGGCTACAGCTCAGCTCTAAGACCCGGCCAGTAAAAGTGCCAGCACGACGCAGAGCGCGGGGATTCTGGGAGTTGTAGTTTGCTCTATGAGGCGATGCCTAAGATGGCTTCCCCGGGTCACAGGGTCACGTGAGAGGGGAGGTGCTGGGCCAAGGGGTAGCCTTGGCAAGGGCTGGTTCTGAAAGTTTCCGGGCCCCTAAAACCGTCTTTCATAAAGCTTTGTTGTTTTTTAAGTTCATATCAGATAATCGGGAAAACTGAAAGAAATGTCCACCAGACCATAAGCGTTCTCATTTTCCTCTTACCCAAATTTGCCTAATGAATATATCATTCAAACCGTGTATAAATTTAATTTAGAAATAAACTTTTCCCACGTATTGTTGAAGGATTTGGTGGCTCAGTGGTTGAATGCCCCTGAGTTCAATCCCCAGAACACACACACACCTTCCCCCCAAAGAGGAAGAGTCCTGAATGCTGAATGTTGAAGGACTTGTGCTTTTTAAAATTATTATTATTATTACTATTATTTAAATGTGAAGACAGGGTCTCGCTAGGTTGCTTAGACCCTCACTAAATTGCTGAGGCTGGCCTTGAACTTGTAGCCCTGCTTCAGCCTCCTGGGTCCTGGCATTACAGGCGCGTGTTCCCATGTCTGGCTTGTGCATTTACTTTCAATTTGCAGAAGTGAAATTGGGCTTTGGAGGGTTTTTGTTTGTTTGGTTTTTTTTTTTTGTTTTGTTTTTTTTTTTTTTTTTTTTTTGTGTGTGTGTGTGTGTGTGTGTGTGTTTCTTAAAACAAAGTTGTGTATCAGGCTTATTAGTAAGTTCATGAGGGTTAGGGGAATGAAAAGGAAAACATGAGCAATTGCTGCTCCATTTCATTACAAACATCCTGTATTTTCCATTTGAATGTTTTGATCTTTAAAAAAAAACAGAATCACAGAAATATGTAGAATAGAAAATTAAAATCTGAATTAATCTCATTCCTGGGAAATTTAATCTCATTGATTTTACATACATCTTTCCTAACTTTTTAAATGCAAATATATTTAAATATATTACATGGATGTAATAAGAGCTAGAGATCTCTCTGGGTTGGTAGATCAGCAGAACTTGCTTCTGAAGCAACATTTTACCTAAACTTTACTTGGGTGACGATACATTCTGCTACTGCGAAAGGATACACTTGATGGTAAAGCTGATGGAGACTCCAGGCACCTTTTATTTCTTTTTATGCTAGTCCTGTGGGAGTCCCAACCAAGCCGCAAATGGCAATCTAAGGGATCCATTAGTCAGAGGAGTCTTGAGTTTCCTTATACTTTGACTTTTACCTTCTTTCAAAGTTGAGAAGCCACAACATTAGAATTTGCCAGTCCTTGCCTTACATACAAAACTCTTGAGACCGGTTCAAGACAGATTTCACTCTGATTACCATGTCAACAAGACCTAACAAGCAGGTTCCTGGTAACCAATTTCTGTCTGTTGTCTGTCCCCGCAACACCTAGGGTTCTTTGTAATTTCACAGATGGCTTTCCAAAGAATTTGCAGATTTTATAGCCGAGGCCTTCCCAAGCTGCTGTCCTGGCCTGAATGGCATGCTATATATAGTTTATAGATACAACATATTTCATCAAATTATATCATAAGATGCATTCTTCTTTTGTGAGCCTCCAAGAGAAAAAAACACAAACACACAAAACTCTGCTCATTAAATTCTTACAGGTTGGGCTGGGGATATAGCTTGGTTGGTAGAGTGCCTGCCTCACAAACACAAGGCCCTGGGTTCAATCCCCAGCACCATCCCACCCCACCCACCAAAAAAGTTCTTACAGGTCATTGATCAGAGATGCTAAATTGAAAAGGATGTGCATCTTAGAATGAATTAAGTGTAGGGATGGGCATTGTAGCTCAGTGGTAATGTGCTTACCTGGCTATGCCTAAGGCCCTGGGTTCAATCCCCAGCACTACAAAAAGAAAAGAAATGTGTATTGTAACAATAAAAACAGGCATCAAACTATGCATAGGGTTTTACAATTTGCTTATTTCCACTTCATAATATATCTTGAATATCTTTTAACAGTCATCAGTACTTATAGGCTTAGAGGCTTACTTTTTTTTTTTTTTTTGGTACTAGGGATTGAACCCAGGTGTGCTTAAGCACTGAGTCATATCCCCAGCCCTTTTTATTTTATTTTATTTTTTATTTTGAAACAGGGTCTTGCTAAGTCACCTAGGACTTTGCTAAGTTGCTGAGGCTGGCTTTGAATTTTCAATTCTTTTCCCTCATACTCCCCAGTTGCTGGGATTAGAGGCATGCACCACCATACCAACTATTACCACTTTTTTTTTTTTTTAACAACTCCCATCCCACTCACTATAAGGCTGTTTTTACAGTTTGTTCCATCAGTCCCTTACCAGTGGAAATAACCATATTTCATATTTCAGTTTCTATTAGTCTCTCCCAATGTGGGGAAGAAAAAAAATAGGGTAATGGGGACATTGAAAAGGGCAAAAGTTAAAAACCTGAGGCTGTTGAGAAGAGGAAGAACTAGTTGGGGAAACCCTATGTTGAGGGAGAATCCATATGGGGATCTCCCCTAAGCCCCAAATACATACACACAAGATTCTCAGAGGTGAGTGTGGGCTTGCCCTTTGGATGTTACAAGTGGGTAAAGTGTCTAGACCATGCACACAATGCCAGATTGCCCATGCTTAAAAAGCACCTCAAACTACAAATGAATTTCAGTTTCCAGATCTCTTTCATAAATAATTACAAAACCATGTAGGATGTTCAATAAGTTTTTGCTTTGAGAGCAAAGTTTTCTAGAAAAAGAATGCAAAATTATTGAGACTAAATTATGTTCAAAAGAGAATATTTAGGCCAGGCACAGTGGCGTACACCTGTGATCCCTGCAACACAGGAGGATGAGACAGGAGAATCTCAAGTTCAAGATCAGTTTCAGCAAAGCCTCAGTGACTTAGTGAGACCCTATCTCAAAATAAAAAATAAAAAGGTCTGGGGGATATAGCCCAGTGATAAAGCACCCCGGGCTAAATCCCCAGTTCCAATAAAGAAACAAATAAATAAATAGACTATTTAGTGTTCAGGATGTAGCTCAGTGGTAAACTGTTTGCCTAGCATGTGTGAGGCTTTGGGGTTCAATCCCCAGTACGATAAGAAGGCTGAACTAGTGGTGATGTTGGGCAGGACTCACAATAGAGTCAACAAAGTCTGTTATCCATCTCCCCTCCTCTATTTTTTCTTCTTTTTTTAAATACTGGGCCTTGAACATACTGAGCAACATCTCTAGCCCTTTTATTTATTTATTTATTCATTTTGGTGGGGGGTACTCGGGATTGAACTCAGGGCCACTCAACAACTGAGCCACATCCCCAACCCTATTTTACATTTTTACTTAGAGACATAATCTCACTGAGTTGCTTTGCTTTTGCTGAGGCTGGCTTTGAATTTGCAATCCTCCTGTCTCAGACTCTGGAGTTGCTGGGAATTACAGGTGTGTGCCACTGTGCCTGGCCCAGCCCTTTTTATCTTTATTTTTTATTTTAAGGTCTCACAAAGTTGTCCAGGCTGGCCTAGAACTTGTGATCTTTCTGACTCAGACTCCAGAATAGCAGGAATTCTAGGCATGTACCACCAAGCTTGGCCCTTTTCTATTTTATCCTTAATTTGTCCCTCTCTATTTATTCCTGAAAACCTGATAACAATACATGACTCCCCCTCTATTTAAAAGTATGCTCAATTCCTTGTTTTCCTCTGGCATACCTAATTTCTGAATTTATCTTTCTGGCCAATTTCCTTGGCCATTTTCCCACCTCTAACATACTCTTAAATCTATTTCATCTGGATTTAATGTCTCCGTGACTTTTTTGAAATTCATTTGGTGGGGTCCATTGTTGTAAGTTAAATAAATACTTTTCAGGGTTTATTTTCTCATTATTATTAGACATAACTTATTGATAGTTT